CCCTCCGATTGCATTTGCTTTCCCTGTTTTGAAGACTGCATTGTCTCCCACCTCAGATCTTTTTTTTATTTGACTCGCACTTTTTTCTCCTTTTCTTTTCATGACCCCGCGACGAGCTTCTATGAAGCCGCCTTGTGAACTTCTTTAAAATTGGTCTTTTACATCGTCCAGGCTGATTGTCTTTATTTCAGGCGTCTCCTATTGTACGAGATGCACTCTATGTAGGTAGATGAGAAGGCTCAGATGTCACTCGCCGTCCTCATGATTTCCTTCCTTTGGTGGTTAGTGGTTTATCACAGCGCGAACATGGCCCAAATATTTTGACTTTGAATGTTCTCCTCGTTAATGAGCCGGATTTTTTACGGCACTTTGGAAGACGGCGGCGCACAGGGGCGGTCGCAGACTTGGCGTTTGGGGGGGGGGGCCAACTTGGCAAAGGGGCCCCTGCACTGACCCGGGGGGCCCGGTGCTAGCTTAAAGGGGCCCACGGGCGTAGTGCATGAGTGCAGAAATCCAGCCATGACCGGTGAAGCGGGGGGGGGGGGGGGTAGGGAGCGGCACCCGAGCGGAGGCTCATTGCCAGCTTTGAGAGTGTACTATGTCGAAAAGGTAAGTTCATTTGGAAGCATTGGTAATGTCAATAATTCACGCAACTGTAAATTGACTACCGCAAGAAGTAAAACCGGCTAACTTGGCCATTTTGAAGATATCGTGCTAAAACTTTTGACAGTGGGTCATCGGTATGTGTTCAATCACATGTGTTCCGATTCTTATTTTTCACTTGAGCACACATGTAAGTTTTGAAGACCATCACGACAGTAGCAAATGCATCGAAAGATGGATAGTAGTGTGCAAAATATCCTGAATTTGTCGTGCTGCATCGAAAGTAGTGTTGATGAGAAAATGGGTTTTATTCCAGATTATTGTGGGTAGAGAATACATTGTCTGCACCCACTGGAGAATTATTGTTGGTGCAACTTCACCCACTGCACCCGTGGCTCCTACACTAATAGGCCCATGGATAACGCTTCGGCGATACCTATCGCATAGAGGCTGCAATGTGGCCCTTAGAGTACAGTGTCAGACCCCCAGAGGCCGGCGTTGGACTCAAGGGTCAGCGAAGGGCCTCAAAGGCCCCAGATGGGGCCCCAGAGGCTGATGTGGGCCCTCAGAGGCAAATGCGTGACACCCAAAGGTAAGTCTTGGGCCCCATAGAACATAATACGGCCATCAGTGGCCGGTGTAGAGACCTCATAGGTCAGTTGGGGGCATATAGAGGCCAGTTTAGGGCCCTCAGAGACCAGTACAGGACCTGCAAAAGGCAGTTTGAGACCATCAGAGACCGACTTGGGCACTCAGATGCTAATGTGGGTCCTTACAGGCCAGCATGGGGCCCTCAGAGGTTAGCGTGGCCGCCGTGGGGCCCTTAAAGACCGGCATGGGTCGGCGTTGGACCCCAGAGGCCAGTCTCAAAGGCCAAAGATGGGCCCTCAAAGGTGATGCGGGCCCTAAGAGGCCGGCATCGGGTGTTCAGAATCCAGTGTGGGGCCCTCAGAGGCTAATGTGCGCCCTTACAGCCCAGCATGGGGCCCTCAGAGGTCAGAATGGGGCCCGGAAAGACTGGCATGGGCCGGCGTTGGACCCCAGAGGTCAGCAGAGGGCCCTCAAAGGCCAAGATGGGCCCTCAGAGGCCGATGCGGGCCCTTAGAGGCCGGTATCAGGTCTTCAGAATTCAGTGCGGGGCCCATAGAGGCTAATGTACCTATGTTCTTACAGGCCAGCATGGGGCCCTCAGAGGTCAGTGTGGGGCCCTAAAAGACCGGCATGGGCCGGCGTTGGACCCCAGAGGCCAGCGGAGGGCCCTCAAAGGCCAAGATGGGCCCTCAGAGGCCGATGCGGGCCCTTGGAGGCTGGCATTGGGTCTTCAGAATCCAGTGCGGGGGGCCTCAGAGGCTAATGTGGGCCCTTATAGGCTAGCATGGGGCCCTAAGAGGTCAGTGTGGGGCCCTAAAAGACCGGCATAGGCCGGCGTTGGACCCCAGAGACCAGCGGAGGGCCCTCAAAGACCAAGAGGGGCCCTCAGAGGTCGATCCGGGCTCTTAGTGGCCGACATCGGGTCTTCAGAATCCAGTGCGGGGCCCTCAGAGGCAATTAAAGGCTAGTCTTGAGACAGAAATGAGGCCACCAGAGCCTGTGTGAGGCCCTCAGCCGCCGGTTGGGCCCCTGAGACCGGTTTAGGGGCCCTTAAAGGCCAGTGGAGGGCCCTCAGAGGTCAACGTGGGTCCTCAGCGGTCAATGTGGGCGCTTGACCGCCACTGAAGGGCCCTCAGAGGTGAGTGTAGGACCCTCAAAGACCGGTATGGGAGCTGTTAGTAGGACCCCGTGGGTTTCTCGAGCCTCGTGACAATCGAATACGGGCCAGGGCCCCAATACGCCCATGGGGGCCCATCGGTTGTTTGGGGGGGGCCAAATGATATGATGGCCCCCCTGATTTGCCTTTGGGGGGGGCCATGGCCCTGATGGCCCCCCCCTGCGACCGCCACTGGCGGCGCATAGATTGGGAAGTAACGGCACATTTTCACTCGTGCCGATAAGAGTGAATAGTATAGGTCTGCAGTTGCACTTGCTGCACGTTTAGTATTTACGGGATCTGTTCATCTGGCGTCCTCCCTGTTCCTGCGATATTGATATATTCTTATTGCATTGTCCCGCATTTCTGGTTAATTTATATTTCGAGTACCCGCTGAACAGGTTCCTGCTGTTGCGTTGTTCCATGGACCCTCCGCCCGACCAGCTTGACGGCGCCGGAATGAATAAGCAAAGTCTGACGAACCCTAACAAGAGGATATTCGCTCTTCTCTCTCTGCAGCTGCAAAATTAATTGGGCCGAGTAGTCAGATTGTTTTCCATCCTCGATATCGCCGTCACTGGGTCAGATGCTAACCACTTCGTGAAGTATAGATGCTATCATAGGCACGTTGGTACTCCAAGCCATTTGGTGGAGGCTGCCTAGCACCGATCTTCGCATTTTGCATTCCATATATGTAGGCACGTACGTTTCTAATACTTCCTTGGCGCCGAGCTCTTCTTTTTTTCGTACCTACATTGCTTCTGTAGGTACTATTGAGCCCGACGGTTACGTAGCCATTTCCGTTTCCACCATATGATTAATTTAATTTTGAAATCGCATCAGAGTCAGACTAAAAAATCATGGAAACCGTTTAAATTGTCCAGTTCGCCAGATGTATGGGGTTTGGCTCGCCGTTATTGATCGCTCTTGGACATCCCTTCTGCACGGAAACCGCTTGTGCTTTACGGATATAAATTTGCGCTATCGATGATATGCGAACGAATGTTGTTCACATAGATCAGGTGCTTTTCAAACTTTGATACCATTTCATTCTTGTGCATGTGCCCTGTGTGGTAAGTTGAGTTTTTTTCTTCAATAATTTCGAGAAGTTGTGGGATCGTATGTCAAGAAGCGGCAACATCGTTCGGTTTTTACCTACCTTCAGCATGCATAATACCGCCAGGCGATATTGCTGATGTAGTCCTGTGTAGAGATGGATGCTGTCGGTGCTCTGGGACGACACTGGGCCTCCGTCCTGTGCAGGGGTGGCTTTTGCTCCCTCCAGTGCGACTGCCGCTCCGTCCGGTGACTGTACCTATACATGACCTGTACCTATACATGTACCTATACCCGTCCTATGACTGTACCTGGAATCCGGCCCCGTGTTCATGTCGCTCTCGCTAACTGCCCTCCCCCATCAGCCGGTTGTGTCAGCGTCTTCAGCGTTTTGTCGTTTTCTGCTGTAGTGACTTCACTAACTGCTGGATACTCCCGGGTAATCATCTGCTCCTCCACGGCCTGTACTCGTGACGCTCATAACCGTCACATCTAAGCTGTTTTGAACTGGTGCGGAGAAAATCACGTTCGACTGCTATGCACGTTGGGTGAGGAATGAGACGTTCACCTTTGCTTTGAACGCGGCATACAGAACCTGATACTGAAACGTTACTCACTTCGTTGCTTGGTGACTTCGTATGCGCATCTAACTTGAACCCGCTCCAGCGCTGTGCTAAGTAGATATTACAGTAGCGAACTGTCATCGATCCTGTGTTGACCGAATAGTTAGTCGCGTAGTCATCTGATCAAGGTGTGTACCTGAGATAGGTGTTTCTATGCAATGTCATTCTATTGAGCGCTCGGAATTTAATTCCTGTTTGCGTCATACGACAGTGCTGTTTCTCTCCATGGAATTGATGAATGGTGTTGGTCCTGCTTAATGATGTACGCCCGTTGAAGTTAAATTGAAGGTCTTCAGTTAATTACCTGAAATTCTCCCTAAAATTCTCCGTAAAAAGCTTGAACTTGCACTTCCGTCTTTTTCTGCTTATAGTATGATCCAGAGTTGCTTGTTCTTTTTGCCAGTTGTAGTGTCCGCCTGTTGGTACCCGTTGGGTTCGCTCACTGTCGGCTCTTATTAGTCACGCTGTCGCTGCTACGAAACCGTCGCACTCTTAACTATATAGCTTCTGTCCTTGCATCTCACGTGAGAACGCGGGTGTCGCTTCGCCTTTCGTACCCCAATATTTACCTCTGGGGTACTGTATGGATAGTGTCGTTGGCCGTGTCCAATTTGTGAGTAGTCGGCCACGAGAACCGCAGATTTTGTGCCCTTCGCTTATCGTTGTTGTATGATTGTATTTTTGCCAGTTATCCGGCTGGGTCGTTAATTAAAAGAAAAGGAAACAGTCTTCAGATTTTGCTACTTCCGAACGTAGAGTGAAGAGCTGTCAATACTTAGATTCATCGCGAGTCGTTCCACTCAGACGCTGGGACGAAGTGTCTCAGCGTCGGGTGTAGCAGAGCAGATTGCTGCGTTCTGTACCGGTGAATGTTGTCCCTTCTCAGGTGCTACTGGTCCGCGATCCCAATCGCCGGCGACGACTTCATCGACTTTCGTCCTCGACGGCCGCATCTCCAGTGAAAGCAGGTAGGCGATTCGGCATTTTATTTCAAACATTCTACTAAGCATCTCCCTTGAATCGCTGCTGCCAAGGTCCCAGGAGCCTTCAGGTGTTTCCAAACGAGCTTCGACGGTTACATGCGATGCGATGGCATCGCATGGTACGTTCGAAAAGACAAGCTCGGAACTACGCGACCGTTCGCAGAACTATCACATTAAGTTCACGAACTCTCACGGAAGTCGCCGAAGATCTTCCAGACGGTATTCTGGTAATCAGAATGTCATCTTCGAGCATGGTCACTTGCTGACTTCTGATGGTCCTAAGCGCCGTGCTCACCTTTTGTGAGGAGGAGGGAGTGACCCAACCAAGCGCCTCTCTGACGAGGTCGCGCCACGTGCCGCAGCCCATCCAACTCACTCCGTCCTCCTCACTTGAGGACCCACCCAAGCCTTACAATATTGTCTTGGTCAGAGTCCCCGGAAGCATGGAAATCTTGAGAACATTAGGGAACACGCCACATGTCATATACAGTTATCATGTATATCATTTATAAACTTAGGGCTAGAAACTTGTTAGTGGATGTTCTTACAACATTATCAACGCTGTCTTGGATAGCGATTCTGTTGTTGAATGGTACATGTGGGATCATTGAAGTTCAGCGGCTTGACGACAGGCGAGAATCGGGGACACTTCAGATGTACGATTCTAAGCGTGCAGGTTCGTTGAGTTCAGTTAATTGAAGGCTGTAGGTCATCTGACTTAGGAGTTAATCTGCTAGCTGAATTGTATGTTGTTGAGTCAAACGTCGAGATATGGAGAGATGTTACGGAAGGCAGGACTGGATGGTCCGGTAGATCCATTAATCTGGAAACTGCGGTCTTGACTGGTGATTCTGGAGATTCTGATGATGCCTGAGATTGTCCGGAAGATGGTCCCGGGGAGAGGGCAGGACGGGATGGTCCGATAGATCCATGATTCTGGAAACTGCGGTCATGGCTGGTGATGCTGGAGATTCTTATGATGCTGGAGATTATCCGGAAGATGGTCCTGGGAAGAGGGCAGGACGGGATGGTCCGATAGATCCATGATTCTGGAAACTGCGGTCATAGCTGGTGGTGCTGGAGATTCTGATGATGCTGGAAACAGTCCGGAAGATGGTCCTGGGAAGACGCACATCAGTTTGACGGGACGGGTCTTTGTTCAGGTCAGCATCTATGAAGAGATCAGCTGAGGGATGAAGTTGAAATTCGGTCTCGAACGGAAGATGATTCTGGCGGAAAGAAACGTCATGATAGCCGGATGTACTGCTGAGACAGGATCATCCTGAAGAGATCAGTGGGAAGTTACGTTCCGGCAGGGGCGAGTTTTCAAAGGTGTCATCATGGCATGGTGCTTCTTCAAGTCAGTGACCTTGAAGAGCTGCGACGTCGTGGTACGGTGCAGGACCGGTGTCGTGCAGACCGGGAGTGCGTGGGTGGCAGGTTGTTCGCCATGGTGATTGTGAAGCAGGGGTGAGCATCTCTCGCAGATGGAAGGGTTCTCGATGTGTCGATCAGAATGCGTACAGGGTAGGCGGGTGAACTGCAACAGCTGTCTGGTTCGTGCCGGGTGTCTGTGAAGAAAACAGACACCGGTCGATCCTGTAACTGAAGCATCAGTACAGGAACTGGTTCAAGTGAAAGAGCAGCATGTCCCTGGTATGGAACAAGGAACAAGAGTCCGGTATGGACCAGGACTGATCAGTGAAGAGCGGCATAGAATAAGTGCGACAGGTTTACGAGTTCTGACATTCTGAAATTGTATCACTTGGGGTCGAGCCATGATCCATAGTAAGTCGCACGTGCATGTCATAGTTTTCGAAGAGGTATTCCATGAAGGAATAGCATTGAACAGACTGGATAACAATTTGAAAGGATGGTATGTGTAGGTGGATCTCGGATGTGCTTAACAAAGAGCCTTTTCCTGTAGGAGTCTGGTCTTTGGATGCCTACATTGTCTACTAAAGTTAGGATCGAATTATGCTTTCCATGAAACAAAAATGCACTTTAGATAGGCCAAGCGGACATCAACCTGATAATGTTGCAAACAAAAATGGTACATCATCGATGTTGTAAAAAGATGGACATATACGAAATTTTACTCATGCTTGTCCAGATCGCTTCACAATTCACATGGCGAGGAAGCATGCTTCTATAGAATTTTGACTAATTTATGCAATTTATGACACTTCATCGGTAACACATACCGTGTTAAATCTGGTAGGTGAGAGAAGTTGTGTCCGATCCTTGTGTACTCCAAGACAAATTAACTGCTGCGTAGTTGCATAGTGGAATGAAGCGTGGAGAGAACATCTCGAGCTGCCACGATGCTGAGACTGGAATGGAAGCAAACAAACTTGCGCCAAACACATGCCTAACGCCAAATAAAATAATGCCGAGTACGTATTGGGGGAGTTGGACATCGAAGAGAAAACCTATTAAACCAGAAACAGATTATTGGAAGCCAACGCAAACATTGGGCATTCCGGGGGTCAATTTCACAACAATCGCCAGCACTCCTAGGGGAAAATCACTGGACATTTCGGGGGCCAATTTCACAACAATCGCCAGCACTCCTAGGGGAAAATCTGTTGACGGACTTACGGCAACCGACTAACAAGACGAACCTTAAACCGAAACGACACACCTTACCATAAGCAGAGGGACATACGTGCTCGTGGTAGGCCGAGGCGAACCCATCTCACCACGTCCCTGCGTGGATGTACACCCAGGAAGGATGCTCCAGAGTCCCTGTGATTGGTTATAGTCCAAACATACGACAGCATAACAAAACGATTATTGACGAGTTTCCTTGAAAAAGAACCATTATTTTTGCCAATTTAATAGGATGTTTTTTGTTTAAATGCATTCACACTCATGGAATGAAATATGGGTATCCGATGACGTTTAAAACATACTAATTCCCCAGAATTTCACCGCACAACGCTTAAATAAGTTTACAGTATTGCCAGTGTCGTTGACTACGTTTCGAACTTACTTTCTAGTGTGCGCACTCCAGACGACATGAATTAGTGCTGAGGGACCAAGTGGGTAGATACGTGCAAAGTTGCAGAAGCTTGATGGTTATCCAGGCCAGGCCATATACGAGTACTAGATGTTTGCCGGTGAATTGACGACTGCTACGAAGTCGGCCACGAAAACTTTGACATGGATCTAAGTAAGGCATATCCGAATATCTGAAATTAAAAAAAATCATGCACACCCACCTACTCTCGCCTACTCACCTAGTGATTCTGATTCAAACATCACGAGGAACGCATATATGACTGACAATATAGAAAATGTGACTTTGAAAATGTGTGAAAATATGCAGTTATGCTACCATGATATACTAAAAAGTAACACGCCTTTCGTAATAAGCTACCCTGACGAATTAAATAGTAACACGATATTGTACAAATGATCACAATAGCGTCATAGAAGATGGTCTATACTACATGCAATGACTGTTAAAATGTGTTTCCAGTTTTCGACTACATTATCACATAGGCATAGAGGAACTGATACCAGATGTGTTGTGGTTGATGATACTGCAGTGTAGTATCTCTGGATCATCGTTCGGTGCTGACAAGTGCACAGCCTCTCAGTGAAACCATATGGAGACGCCACGTCTGTTGGAGGCAACTGTAAAAGGACCAGAATCGCCCCATCCACACACCCCAACGATCTGTGCTACAGAAAGTCGCCATTCGCTAATAATGGACAGCTACATACATAACAGATTTGTTCAACATAACCATTCGCAACATAGTAAGATGTGCTCCGAAGTAGAGGATTTCAGGTATATTATATACAAGTCTCTTCTTAAATCCCGAAAATAAAAACTGAAGAAGTTGACCGTAGGAAAAATATTGAAGTGCAGTCGTGCTGCATCTTACCAAGATGGAGTATCTGGTCGCATTCCATATGGGGCAGCAGAAGCCGTGTTGTTTGGAAGCCAGATTGCGGCGGAGATGCGGCGGAGACGAGGCCAGGAGGCGAGAAAAGAACAATCTCTATGGAGGATCGAGCGCCGACACTTGATGGAACGCCTAGCACACTCCTCGACGAGACGAACTTTTCACCATAGCCTGCCGCTGAGAAGCATCTCTTTGCGCACAACACAGACAAACGCTTTTCAGCTAGTATATGTACCAAGTTTCCATTTTACGATAGCAATCCCATCCTAAACGTATCTATTTGTTTCCTTTTCATTTGTCTGAATACTCTTTACAGCACATTGAACTATGAATATTGCAAAAACTTGGAGAAATTTGAATAATAAAATGTTGTGATACAAATAGCTAACGCAATTCAGGTATCTCACGGAGGTCCTCGATTGAGTCTTCCCATTTCACTCTGAGGTTTCCTGGCAGATTGTGCCCTCGCAGCTCTCGAGATCAGGTTATTCATTCTGGCATCTGCCTTTCGCCATAGGGTTCTGGAAAAAATAACAACAGATGTTGCCTACACTACCTTAAACGAACCCAGAAAGAGTACATTCCTATTCTCGTCATTAAATGACCCATATTGGTGCGTTCATTTGATGATCAGAATTCAGAACATTGTTATCGCAAGTCTGTATGCAATAGGTAAAACTAGCAATGTCACATTTCACTACCACTCAGCACATGCTAAATTCCTTCATGATTTGTATTATACGAGCGCCCAGCCTATTCAGACAGTCGTTTCTCAGCACATTGTGGCCCAATCCAGCTTAATTTAATCACTGCTTTTGCATCAGTTTAAAAAGTGCCCTTTTAAGTGATTTAACGTACCGCCCTACCAGCCTATCAAGTTCGGATTTCATTCAGAATCGCCTCCTACTCCAGACCCCAGACTTCTTAGCCCGTGACTGTGCAAGAAACCACTCAGTCTCTGCAACTTATTACAAACTATGTAGTTGCCAAATAATGTAGCATATTAGATACCATACTACCGCAGAAAGAGTGAAAAATATCTTGACTAAACTTCTCTAATTCCAGCTTCACTCATTGAACAACTCAGAAAAGATATTTCTTATATAAGTACCATGTGGGTTACCGACGACAGACCCTTGACGGGCGGACAGGCCGCGGCTCGTCAGGAAGACGGCGTCGTTTGCCGAGAAGCCCTGTGGGCTGTAGGAGACCGTCCGTCCACTGCGTCGCCGATGGCACGCCGGACTTTCAGCCGAGGACAACTGGACGTGGTGCCACCCGCCGGGAAGAAGCATGACAAGCTCGTGATGGAGCGCCTGCTGGGGAAACAGACGTCTGCCGACCCGATACTTGTAGCACCGGCTGAGAGGGTGGACTTGGTGTCTGGATGGTGGCCGAGGCGGCTGCGCTGAGGTTCTCAGGAACGCCACACGAACACGCCGCACAAAAACATCAAAGTAGCCTGGGGTAGGGATGTATACACACACTACACCACACTACATGTTGCGACATCCAAGACGGTTCGTAAGTTGAGTTCAAAGCTTTTAAAACAAAAAGGAAATTGGGACATACCTTACGGCTAGTACGCTTAAATGGGCTGTCGCGCATGAACAGTGCGTCATAATATGTTTTGATGGTTCCAGTCAGCAAATAATCATAGGCATTTCTCAGTTACATGGTCTCCAGATAGCCAGTGATACGGTTGCATTAAGTCAAGTTCGGCCAAGGGCCAACTCACGGTTATAAATGTCCCTCGGAAGAGAAGTGGCAGAACGGGAACGCCACACGAACACGCCGCACAAAAACATCAAAGTAGCCTGGGGGAGGGATGTATACACACACTACACCACACCACATGCTGCGACATCCTAAGACGGTTCGTAAGCTGAGTTCAAAGCTTCTAAAACAAAAAGGAAATTGGGACATACCTAACGGCTAGTACGCTGAAATGGGCTGTCGCGCATGAACAGTGCGTGATAATCTGTTTTGATGGTTCCACTCAGCAAATAATCATCCTAGGCATTTCTCAGTTACATGGTCTCGAGATAGCCAGTGATAAGGTTGCATTAAGTCAAGTTCGGCCAAGGGCCAACTCACGGTTACAAATGTCCCTCGGAGGAGCTTGGTGGCAGAACGATGCTCGCCGACGACAGGCCCTTGACGGGCGGACAGGCCGGGGCTCGTCAGGAAGACGGCGTCGTTCGCCGAGAAGCCCTGTGGGCTGTAGGAAACCGTCCGTCCACTGCGTCGCCGATGGCACGCCGTACTTTCAGCCGAGGACAACTGGACGTGGCGCCACCCGCCGGGAAGAAGCATGACAAGCTCGTGATGGAGCGCCTGCTGGGGAAACAGACGTCTGCCGACCCGATACTTGTAGCACCGGCTGAGAGGGCAGACTTGGTGTTTGGATGGCGGCCGAGGCGGCTGCGCTGAGGCTTTCAGGGATGCCGCGCGAACACGCCGCACCAGGAAAGGTTACAGCAACCTGGGGAGCAGAGTCTCCACACCACACAAGACAACAGCGAGGCGCCTAACCTAAGATAGTTGACAATCAGATCACTGACAAGTTTAATTCAGCACAGAACATAACCGTGACATGTCGTTTTCTTTGAAAAAGTACTTGAGGTTTAACTGAAACAATACTGGGGATATGTTGCCATGCACGGGCAGATGCTCATTCGAAGTATTTGGAAATTCTCCTGTTTTAATTATATTAGTGATGCTTGGTGTTCATCCATCACACATATTACTTCTGTTCAGTTTTTGTTTAGCATCTTTGACTGCTCATTGTTTATAACGCATGGTACATCCATATATTTGTTATCATTTTCTGGCCAATTAATGTTCAAGCTCATTGCCGGTTAATTCTCAATCGGGAATAAATTGTACGCATGAGAGAACCGTAGGAACCATACCGTGTCATTTAAGCGATACCCGTGTTGTCCAGCGCCTGTTTCATGCCCCATCATCGTGTATCACCTGAGAAATAGTGTCAACGACCATACGACACAAATGGATGTGCAACTACAAATGGAATAAAAATAGATCGATGTTTTTCGCAGATTATCAAGAAGTACATATTCCCTTCTCCATCATAAAAGTTCCATAGCAAGTTCGATAATATCAATTCACACATCGTTAAAAGTAACTCGTCATTAACCAACACTGAAGGTAAGTCAGAACGTTCCATCCGAAAAAACGAAGGTGGCGGTAACAGCCTGTAACTTGCCTGTACAAGTATCCTGATTCCCGCCAGGCACCACATTTCGTACTAGGTATCTCCCTGAATTGCCTCGGTCTCCGGCGCCTTTACAGGTAACACGCTGAAACGAATCGACAACAACCACGAAAACAGCCTACTGCCTATTGCCCTCATTTTAGTTAGACATTAACTTCACGGAAGATGTCATTAATCTTCTAAAAGATGAAACATAGTATTGATTGCAGTTATGAACGAAACCTCTAATGGTACGCAAGCTCAGATTATCAGTCTGCCACCATCAAGATATTGATGTAATTTGTTTACATATAAAATTTGTCAATTTCCCAGTTTCGGCCAATGGCCAACTCACGGTTACAAATGTCCCTCGGAAGAGATAAGTGGCAGAACGATGCTCGCCGACGACAGGCCCTTGACGGGCGGACAGGCCGGGGCTCGTCAGGAAGACGGCGTCGTTCGCCGAGAAGCCCTGTGGGCTGTAGGAGACCGTCTGTCCACTGCGTCGCCGATGGCACGCCGGACTTTCAGCCGAGGACAACTGGACGTGGCGCCACCCGCCGGGAAGAAGCATGACAAGCTCGTGATGGAACGCCTGCTGGGGAAACAGACGTCTGCCGACCCGATACTTGTAGCACCGGCTGAGAGGGTGGACTTGGTGTTTGGATGGCCGCCGAGGCGGCTGCGCTGAGGCTCTCAGGAACAACGCACGAACGCGCCGCACCAGGAAAAGCTACAGCAGTCTGGGGAGCAAAGTTTCCACACCACACAAGACAACAGCGAGACATCTCACGTACGATTGTCCAGTCACAGGTCTGGCAAGTGATTCAAAGAGTACCTACACCACTTGGATATCTATTCCTTTGCAGCTTATATGTATATGAGAATATTGGTCCCTGACTATTCGGAAATTCTCATGTAACTGTATCGGCATTATGCTCGACCATTGTTTTACTTTCCTGACTTCGTCAAATATCGAAGAAAACATTGCTGGGTGTCTCATATACTCATATACATTGCCTCCTCATCGTTTAGTTCCCTTGTCCATCTAGCAATGTGTTAACATTTTGTTTACCACGATTTCAACCTTAACATTAAGATTTACGGCTGATTAGTTCTTGAGAAGAAATGGTATCATGCACACATAATAATCGAACCGAAAGAGCCATACCGTGTCGTTTCAGCAATACCCTTGCTTCGTGTCACTTGCCTGTACAAGTATCCCGGTTGTTTTCATGTACCGCATATAGTAATATCTCCCCGAACTGCCTCGGTCTCCTGCGCACCTCTCACAGGTAACACGCTGAAACGGATCGACAGCAACCACGAAAACAGCCTACATTCCTATTGCCCTCATTTTAGACATTAACTTCACGGAAGATGTCATTAATCTTCTAAAAGATGAAACATGGTATTGATTGCAGGTATGAACGAAACATCTAATGGTACGCAAGCCCTGTTTATTAGTCTCACCATCAAGATATTGATGTAATTTGTTTGCATATAAAATTTGTTAATTTCCCAGTTTCGGCCAATGGCCAACTCCGGTGACGAATGTCCCTCGGAAGAGAAGTGGCAGAACGATGCTCGCCGACGACAGACCCTTGACGGACGGACAGGCCGCGGCTCGTCAGGAAGACGGCGTCGTTCGCCGAGAAGCCCTGTGGGCTGTACGAGACCGTCTGTCCACTGCGTCGCCCATGGCACGCCGGACTTTCAGCCGAGGACAACTGGACGTGGTGCCACCCGCCGGGAAGAAGCATGACAAGCTCGTGATGGAGCGCCTGCTGGGGAAACAGACGTTTGCCGATCCGATACTTGTAGCACCGGCTGAGAGGGTGGACTTGGTGTTTGGATGGCGGCCGAGGCGGTTGCTCTGAGGCTCTCAGGGATGCCGCGCGAACACGCCGCACCAGGAAAGGTTACAGCAACCTGGGGAGCAAATTCTCCACACCACACAAGACAACAGCAAGGCATCTCACGTACGATGTTTTACAATCACAGTACTGACAAAAGTCATTCAAATACAGAACCTACGCCACTTGGATGTCTATTCCTTTGCAGCTTATGTTTGAACATTCAGTATAGGCACTTGGTCACTTAAGAAGCAAATGCTGCCCCTGAGCATTGAAATATTGTCATGTACCTAACTTTATCAGCATTGTGCTAGACCATTAGGTATATAGCTTCTGTGATTTTGCCTAATTTCGAAGAAAACATTGCTGGGTGTCTAATTCTATACATTGCATCCTCACGCTAAGTATCCTTGTCCATCCCATAATTTCTTTCCATTTGGTCATATACCACGATTATGCACGATTTCAACCTGAACAATGAGATTTACCTATGGCTGATTAGTTTTTAAGAACAAATGGTGTTATACACACATAAGTGAACCTTACGAGTCATACCGTGTCATTTCAGCAATACCCGTGCTGTCCAGTGCTTCGCTTATGCCCAATCATATAATGGTGTATCACCTGCGAATTAACGTCAACGAACTCACACAACACACCGCGAACTGCGCCCAGCGGCAAAAAAAAATCGATACAAAGGAAAGTTTTCTTTTCCCAGCTGCTATGAGCGATGAGCAATATCTTTGAAAATGATGGTTATAGAATCATTGACCTGCGTTCATGTTTTCGATTTGGAGTGCATGCAACTGAATGTAACATTGTCTTCGTAATAATAAGAAAGAAACATACCGCAACGACTTCGTATCACTTGCCTGTACAAGTCTCCGGGCTGTTATCAGGTACCGCATATAGTAATATCTCCCTGAACTGCCTCGGTCTCCGACGCACCTCTCACAGGTAACACGCTGAAACGGATCGACTGCAACCACGAAAACAGCCTACATTCCTATTGCCCTCATTTTAGACATTAACTTCACGGAAGACGTCATTAATCTTCTAAAAGATGAAACATGGTATTGATTGCAGGTATGAACGAAACATCTAATGGTACGCAAGCCCTGTTTATTAGTCTCACCATCAAGATATTGATGTAATTTGTTTGCATATAAAATTTGTTAATTTCCCAGTTTCGGCCAATGGCCAACTCACGGTGACGAATGTCCCTCGGAAGAGAAGTGGCAGAACGATGCTCGCCGACGACAGGCCCTTGACGGGCGGACAGGCCGGGGCTCGTCAGGAAGACGGCGTCGTTCGCCGAGAAGCCCTGTGGGCTGTAGGAGACCGTCTGTCCACTGCGTCGCCGATGACACGCCGGACTTTCAGCCGAGGACAACTGGACGTGGCGCCACCCGCCGGGAAGAAGCATGACAAGCTCGTGATGAAGCGCCCGCTGGGGAAACAGACGTCTGCCGACCCGATACTTGTAGCACCGGCTGAGAGGGTGGACTTGGTGTCTGGATGTCGCTGAAGCTCTCAGGAAAGCCGCACCAGGAAAAGTAAAGGCAACCTGGGGAAATAACGTCTCCACACCACATACGGCCGCGCTGCTACATCTTCATACCCCTAAAAGCCAAATGTAATAATACATTAATGCTATCTGTCTAAGTGAGACCTCATTTGTTTTTGTGAATCGCGCAGAATAGAGTAGGCTAAAAAAGAAAACAATAGGTACTGAGGTTTAAACATTTGCAAACCCATTCATTGCGCACAATAGTTACGTATGCTTCCGCAGAAGCCTCCTTATTCTTAAAAAAGGACGATGTATGCCGTCAGGACCATGCAAGGATCATGCTATTTGATACATGTGCATAGTCTAGCGAACTGTTGACACAGCCTACTTAAGCACATATTACTGAGCATGGTGCCGATAATAGCAAAATGTCTGGGGTAGCACTGCCACCGAGTGTGAAGTAATAAGCAACTAAAATGTTTTATGCATTGAAATGCCTGGAGACAACTGGCCTTTCTCCCGGGGTTAGCGGACGTCCACTGGGTTGGACAGCATAGATGGCATCAGCTGTGGCAGTTACGGGGTACAATCTCGGGCACTCGAGGGTGGACAAAGAACCCTGTGGAAAAACAGCACACCACATACGCCGCAGATAGGTAGGTACATACATTGTCGCTGAACCTTTCGTAAGAGATACTCTGTGAGCTGCACCACGATAACTCCTATCAGTACAAGCTAATCGCATGCTTTACAAAATGCCACTTACCTAATAGGCTATGTGTACATGCTTAATGCTGAACTGGATTAGGTCTACCATTTACGTGCAGTACAGAAGAGCACAATAAGCTAGTGGACGGCAATGCCTGGATGCTGAATTGAACGAACTGACAGCATTGGACCCAGCACACCACAAGGTTTCAATCACTTGTATCATTCAAGAGACCACTAATTGAAACGTGGATGTAAGCACACGCACTGTCCGCACATTAGCACAGCAGCACAAGCACTAAACTCAATACCACTCAGATAGACCCCACTTATTAGTGCAATCATAGAACAGATTAGTGTATAGAGCAATCTACATAGCACCACAACGTCTCTGCTGTGCAGCTTCTCAAAAAAGGAAAAGTTGGTATACAACACTTTGACCAGGACAAAGAAAATCCGGGAAACAAAAATTTCGGACTCGTCCTATTGCTTACCTATCGACGAACTTATGGGTTTCATGACGTCTTTGGCAATAGGGAGGACGCAACGAGCAGACTTTTTTCCATGTGGAGCGAATGATCTCGAGGAATCACGCATGAAGACCTGACGTTAGGTACATGGCAGCACAATGCGAAGAACCAACACAACTCGTCTTTCATGTATGAAAATGTCTCACATATGACGATCAGATCAAAGGTACCTATAGTTTGATATTTTCATGCAATGGCAATAAGCGATAAATAGCAACGGTGGAGGTTGCGATTACTCTGGATGTTAAACTCACGTATGTTCTCCTGGATGCTTAGCCAGACTCCCGTGCGATATTCGTACAATTGGCTCGCTCTAATAAAAATCTGTGAAGGGCTAAAACATGGTTATCTCCCCCACCCTCCCCCAACCCACGCTAACTCCCCCAAATCATCGAAAGATGATTAAAAAGTAATGCAAAAATGGGCTAATGTGGCCTCCAGTCCACCTAACAAACTTTAGTCCTGCGGGTTTTCATATCAAGGCAAAAATATTCCATCCACAGTACGAATGCCTACTGCTTAACCCTCATGGTTGTAGCAGTTTCTGTGAGGGTTGGAGCCATCTCACTTATCTCATGTAGGTACCAACATCAATGAACTCCCACAAACGGAATGACATGACTGATTTCGTATCAAGATTACTTGATGGGCTTTTGGAATGTTTGATAGTATCGAAGCAAATTAATGTGTCAGTCTCAGTGATTGATCACACTGCCGGGCTAACTCACGTGACGCGTCCTGCATCACCTTGTTCCCCTTCATGTACCAGTGTTGGCGGCCAGCCGACTGCTCAGCGGATGTTCTATCGGACACGATCTGAAACAGACGCATATGCCGAGCGCCTCCCCAACGAACCACCCGGATTGAACGGGAAAACCTAACCCCTCAAAAAGAAAAGGAAAAAAATAACACTAAATAATAATGATCATATGCAGCATCTAGACAGAATAACTTTCCCCTTTGCTCTAGTATCTGCGGCAGTGATTTGACCACAACCTTATCGCGTTGATAGGCAAATTAACATCTATTCAGAATAGTGGATGGAGCGAAGCAATGGCCTCTGCACAATGGACGAATATGATGGCCGAAAAGAACAGTCTCATTAGGAACTAAGTGCAGCATGGAACTTACTGTGGTATGTACTGAAGGCTCGGCTCATTCATGCTCTATTCCCAGTCGCCATTCGCCTCCCTGGTCCCTCGTCCTGCAAATACAAAGTCTGCCTACCTGCCACACACATCTACCACTACATGTGCTTTAACAACCGTTTTTGAGTTCGTTACTTTACATCATTTCTGATAATTGATAAACTTTCACCGTGCGTAGTGTCCTCTGATAGGATAATGCACGTTGCCCCCTTTATTTCCTCAGACGACTCAGAATAACCCTCTCCATGAAACCTCTCGACACAACCTCACCTCTATCCAGTCCTCAAAACGCGGAGAAAACGTCCGACAAATGTACCACGATATCCTTGTATTGGCTCTCGGCGGAGGGAACGAGTACCACAGTCTGGAGTCGAACAGGACGAGACCATGATCCTGGAACAGAGTCGCTCCGCACACCCACACATCGACCGCCATGGAACAGCCTCGATTTATTTCAACAAACAAAAGAGAAATCGTGTGGAACTGAGCACGGCGCATGACGCTTGGAATATTATTTTCCCGAATATTGTTGTCATTCCGCTATCGTTTGCTACTGTTCTGACGTTCGATTTCCTACCTCAGGTACTACTAGGAAGTTCGTACCTAGTCGTGAACTCACTTTTTCGTGATTCCGCTCGTCTGTTGACTTTGGTCTGTGGGAAAAAGAGATTCGGTGTGCGGTGCACATGGCATGGGAAGACAACCATAATGGAAGCGTTTTCCGACGGCCAGCCTGAGACATGCGCCGCAGCCGAAACGGAGCACAACAGACCGGTGGCCAGCCGGCTGCAAAGCCCGTTCCGACTCCAGCACACCCCTCAGGACACGGCGCGCGGCAGATCATGATACACCTTGGCCACTAACTGTTCTGCAAAGTCTGCATGGACCTTCTGAGTGGTTGCGTCCCGGCTGCTTCGCAAGCGTGACGGCTCTTTCACTCGTGACGTCCGGTCTCTCGAAACGCTGTCTGCAACGGAATGCGCGCAAGTCGTGCACCGAAACGGTCCCATCCTCTTAGGTGATCAACAATTGAATCGTGCGTCTTTCGTCGGACAGTTCAGTCTACGTATTTCGTTGCTAGAAGAAGTGTTTGTAGCGTGTTTCGGCTAACTACTGATAGGATAGAGTCTGAGGTGAAGCTGCCGCGAGCGGCAGTTACCGTGTACGATGACGCACTGCTGACGGTGACCACCGGGTCGCGGGTCGGCCGCACCGGGTCCGCGGGCTGCCTCTTGACCGGGCTGGGTGTCACGGCAGATGCGCCGATCGCGTCCGCGGCCACCGGGTCGAGGTTTGCCACCAGGTCGGTGATAGGCCGGGCCGCCGGGTGAGCGCACTCCCCGTCGTGGAGTCGCACAGGAACGGTCCTGATGTCCCGAAAGGTGACCCGCGCAACAGGAACGGCTGACTCTCTGCCACCGCCTTCTGCAAGCAGTGTTACTGCCACCGGGGGAGGGCGCTACGCGTGCAAAATGTCGAAACGCAGTGTGTGGTGTAACCCCAGGGATCGAAAAGGGCGAGACCATCAAGGCACAAACAGCGAGCCACGAACAGCAGAACCTATCGCATAACTCACTACACAAATGTACAATCTAATCAGCGTGTCTACGGTTAGGAACAAAAGCCAGACACAGCCCGAGTTCTGTCAGAACCAGTCATAGGAAAAATTCCACAGGATCCCTTTCAGGCACACGCGATAGCGGTAGCAACAGCGGCGGGACCACCAGCGTCAATGCTGCATCACTCACAGATCGGCGGAGCCCGGGACGCGACTCGCCAGGGGCCTCATGCGAGACGCCAGTGCCGGGAGACTTGAGTGGTAGTTAGCCGGGACACCAGTGCTTGCCAGGAGCAGCTGTTAGGCCGTTCTCGCGCCCATCTTGGCCAGTGCGCGGAGGTGTGCGGGAGTCCGACACTCAGGGTGAGCGGGCGGACGATGCCGCGCAGCGTGCAGGACGCTAACAACCTCGGCTGACACCAGCTGTGGATAGCACATCCAACCACGCGCGCACCGGGACAGCACAGCACAGCACAACAGGCCACTACTTGGCAACCAAAGCACCTGACCATCAACAGAGCCAAACTCAAGAGCTTAAATTCACGTCACTGGCAAGTCTACTTTCCGAAACGTGAAACGTCAATTACAAAAGGCAATGCTTCAGTGCACAGATCATACCAACATTAACAGAGGCGTTAGGACACGTTTTGACAGCAGCACAGCACACTCCCCATCACCATCGTGCATTCTAAGTGTAGTGAGGGATGTTTTATTGCCATCACAAGGAGTGGGGATCCCTGAGGTTTGTCTCATTGTAACTCGTACCATTTTGTCATGGCATTCTTAATACGGTATTTCATAGCCTTTGAAATAACGATACCATCGGCAGTATATCGAAGGTGCTTTTTTCGGAATTCGTAAACGAAACTGTCCTAGTACTGTGCTAGAACGCTAGCCTCTTACGTCGACCATGACTAGAGAAAGGTAAACACCTGCGGCTCGGGTCCGGGGAGGGGTCGCCAGGCCCCTACGACAGACGATGGCCGGAAGCGCACCGCCGCCGCCCTGCCCCACTCACTTTATTCCGTCTTTATCGACGTCTCATGGAACCAGCAGCTCCTGCGGCGCGTCCGCGATCAAAATGGCGGCCGGGCAGTACCTTGCCGACGTCAGGTGGCGCGCGCGTCCCTCGGCCAACATGGCCGCCAACGGTGACGTCACAAAGAAAGTGCAGCGTCTCGCTGACGTGGCGTGCCAGCCGGCGACGCCTTTCATAACAGGACCAACCTAGGAGGAGCGCAAATGTCCATCGAAAGTAAAAAGAACTTCAACCAACTTCCTAGCAGTAAGGCGTTCAAGAATCACCCGGATGACACGAAATGAATGCAAGGACCTTGTCACAGCACTCAACACCTGATTGCAGCCACCATTTGAAGAAAAGTAGTGAGGCTTAACTACTTGTGGATACTTAGAGGATTACTTGAAAGTATTTCAACAAAATACTTATCCGACCTAGCGCCTTGCACTTCACAACTTAATGAAGAAAAAAGCTACGTTACAGGTACACTGAATGCAAGTTCACACACCACAACTAAAATTGAAACACCAAAATGTTAGCTCAAAAACTCAAAAAGCAAATCTTGATGGTTATGATCTTCTGGAAAAAAGAGCTAGCAAATAAGCTTAAATCGCAGCGAGACGGAGCCATCACTAGCACAACCGCACTGCCGGAGTTCAGGTACGAGAATGGCGGCTCTGGCGAGGGATCCTGAAACCCAGCTATCTGCGTATCTGGGCCAAGCACACTCCCGAGCCTTCCAACCAATCAGCAGCCGGCGTCGCCCAAACGGCGGATGGTGATTGGTGGGAAATTATTGCGCAGTACCGTTTCCGACCACGACCGCTAGAGGCGCTTCGACTGCGGGTCGTGACGCAGCGTCGATCGCATGACGCAACCGCCTGAACCGGAACAGTCCGCTGCAGACCGTGCCAGCGGCCCTCAAACCCACTCACAAAATTCCAGAAGAAACCGGGCTGCTCCAGAAGGTTGAGAGCCACAAGAGAGTGGGCGAAACCGGTCCGTGGCGTCAGCTGCTCCGCCATCTTGTCGCCACCGCTGTATTGATCTGCCAGAAGTCCACGGTAACGGAACATTCCATGCAAAGATTGTGATCATGCATTTATTGAAAGCCAAACAACTTTACGTCCCTGACTGTCGCATCATGCAACGGACCAGAAACACTGGCGGATACAGGGACATGGGCAACATGACCCTATTTACCTACATACCTATGACTCGGTTTCTAAACACCACGCCTTACGCCTGTGAAAATGAGATATAAACACAAAACAATCAGTTCTGACGATTGCCACTGTCTTTAAAAGCGGCTTGATTTGCCTGTGCAGCATGCACACATGCAGATAAACTATCAAAGAAAATAGCGGCATGACATCGACAAAATAAAAAAAAAACGTTTTACCAAGAATGAATCCAGCAGCAGTGTTCAATTCCTCCTTAATGGATTCGCTAACGATGACCTTATCGACCCTGGGGTAAAGATGGTGGCATGTATGCAAAATTGACATACATAATCAAACTCCATGCAGCAACGTTTGTGGTCTGGTTCAGGGGCGGATCCAGGAAAACTCCAAGGGGAGGGTCATGAATCGAAGTGGTGCCCCTACCTATACCCAAAATTAAAAACTCAACGGATTTCGTCCACTTCATTTTGGTGGTGCCCCCATTTTCAGTTTTTTTTCTTTTTATTTTTTATTTTTAGTCAGTATCTTAACTCTTAGCCACAACCACATTTACCAATTGTAAGCAAGTATATATGAATGTGCTATGTGTATACATATATGTTGTGGACGCTGAGTAGTGAGTACTTACCAGGAACGTTATCAGGTAAGCAAATCGTTGTCAGTCCGACGAACTTGACCCTGGCGTCTAAAGGGTCTGTCCTTGACACTTCAGGCTTGTCAGGGGCACCAAAGTCCTTCCAGGGACACCACAAACCTGTCAGGGGCACCTACGGCCTTGTAGGGGCGCCACAGGCCCGCCAGGGGCACCACAGGTCTAGCAAGTATACACGACAGGCCTGTCAGGGGCACAACGGGCCTGTTGGGCCCATGAGCACCCCTAGGGGCAGGGGCACCACAGTCCTTCCAGGGGCACCGCAGGCCTGTGAGGGGCACCAGTCAACACAGGTCTGCCAGGGGCGCCACAGACCTGCCAGGGGCACCACAGACCTGCCAGGGGCACCAGAGGTCTGCCAGGGGCACCACCGGCCTCGCAGGGGCACCTTGGGCCTGTCAGGGGCACCACGGGCCTGCCGAGGGGCACTTCAGACTTTTCAGGGGCACCAGTCCTCTCCGGGCGCAGGGGTACCAGCGGCCTAGCAAGGGCACCAGAGGCCTGCCAGGGGCACCAGCGGCCTAGCAAGGGCACCAGAGGCCTGCCAGGGGCACCACAGGCCTAACAAGGGCACCACGGGCCTGTCAGGGGCACCTCAGGCTTGTCAGGGCCCAGGGACACCACAGTCCCTCCAAGGTCACCGCAACCCTGTCAGGGGCACCAGAGGCCTGCCAGGGGCACCACAGGCCTGGCAAGGGCACCACTGGCCTGTCAGGGGCACCTCAGGCTTGTCAGGGCCCAGGGGCACCACAGTCCTTCCAGGGGCATTACAAGCCTGTCAGGGGCACCAGAGGCCTAGCAAGGGCACCACAGGCCTGCCATGGACACCACAGGCCTGCCAGGGGCACCACCGGCCTTGCAGGGGCGCCTCAGGCCTGTCAGGGGCACCACGTGCCTGCCGGGGACACTTCAGGCTTGTCAGGGGCGTTACAGTCCTGTCAGGGCCCAGGGGCACCAGGCCCGTGGTGTCCCTGCTAGGCCTGTGGTGCCCCTGGCGGTCCTGTGGTGCCCCTGTCAGGACTGTGATACCCCTGATAGGCCGGTGGTGCCCCTGGCAGGTCTTTGGGCCCCCGGGCCTCAAGGGGGGGGGCCATGACCCATGTGACCCCCCCCTTGGATCCGCCCCTGGTCTGGTTGATGAAAACAAAATTATTTAAAAATCAATTGACTGATAGGCGGATCCGAGAAAGGCGGCTTCTGACGGGCATGCCTATCCCCGAAAGTGAAAAAACTGATTGGATTGCGTTGCATTACGCGCATTGCTGTGTAGTTTACAGCAAAGTTTTCCTCATAAAAGTTTGTAAGTTTTCTTTCTATTCTAAAATTTCATGGATTTCGGGCGTTGCGAGCGGGCATTTGCCTAGAATGCACCCTTGATCCGCCGCCAGTGCATTGGTTTGAAACAGCATAAGGTGCATTGCTATGCTGTGCATATCTACCTCTATGTATGTATGCATGTATGTATGTATTTACGATCGTGGGCGATCCACCCATGGCGTGGCGGTACCTATACATATACATGCCTAAACCTTAAGTGCATAGGTACCTAGGTAAAGTACCTTTTTCACGTAGATAAAGAAATGTGCTAACATGCAAGTTCATGGTAAACACCCTCAGAAATGTGCAATGCCCATGCTTTGAGCGGAAATCTACGGAAAAGTTTTTTTTTCTCGTTTTTTAAATCATTTCTGAAACATCTCTTTCTCCATCCCGGGCAGAACGCTTTGCACTGTAGGTCTCCGTGGTGCGGCAGTGAGCGCCAGCCACCAGCGTCCCCGCCGCCATGATGGCATCCGACCTTTGTCGGCGTCCAAGGGCAGTCAGCTGATCGGCGCCACGGAGGCGGAGGCCGCTTTCACCCGAACCGACGCGGCGCGGCGAGCGGGCGAATGGCCCCGCGGCGCCGACGGGGGACGCCATGGCCAGAAGCTGGAATGCAGGCGCTACCATAGCCCTCGCCCCTCGCCAGGCGAGGGTCTTTTCCATAACACGGACGGCGAGGGGGGGTTGGTACGACCCCCCGCCCCCTCGCGATTGACTCCTATGGCACTTAGAAACGCCAAATTCACAGGGTAGGTGGGTCCATAGGAGATCTCGCCCCTGTGGAAGTTTGGTGACTAAGTCAATATTTAGGGGGGTTTGGGGAGGGTATGAGTGCAAAAAAATTGCTAAAACATGTCAAAAGTTTTTCGCTTATAACGTTTTACCTAGTAAAGATAGAGCAAAAATAAAAGCACCCGTGAACTCAGGACGTCCGTGCGCACCGAATGATATACTTTGTTACCAATTTTAGTGAACTCTGGAATTCAGTTGCCGCCGTTTTTACGTTATTTGCGAAAACCCTTAGGGGGGGGGGGTTGCATCAACCCCCTCGCCGGGCGAGGGCTAGGTGCTATAGCCAGGCTCTTATCGCCTATGCACTGACCATTATAATTGGTACCTATGCTTTCCGTATTCTTGCAATTTCTGAAATGTCTTATGGCACCCGTATTGTGGCGGTAACTTGTCAAATGTTTACACTGAACCCGCATAGGCGGCGGAACGGGGAGGGCACCGGGGCACCGTGCCCCTTTGATTTTGGCATTTTAACATTAGCCCTATGGGTGTTACATAGAAAGAATGGGACCAAAAGTCGGCGGTGCCCCCCCCCTTAATTGAAGGTGTTCCGCCGCTACTGTGAACCCGCACTGTGTCTAAACTCTCCACAATTTTTTCTTGGTCGAAGCATCTTTTTGCAAAGGGGGCACTTACCGAAACTGATATCACGTGTACCCCTGTATCAAACCTCGTTACCGTCGGCTATGATTCACGACCTAATTCATATCAGTCGGGGTGAATGAGCCTCTATTCAAAATGTGACCTCTTGGTGACCCTCGGTGACAATGATGGTGCGTGTTTCTACCTGTCTGGGTCTGAAGGAGGCTGACTCACGGCCTCGGAGCGTGCGTTGTGGGCGTCGGATGCGTCAGCGCGGCGTCCGGTGACGTCAGCTGGTGGACACGCTGCTATTTTGGGCACTGAACGCTGAAAAGTCAACAGAACGGTCTTACTGTCACAAGGCCGAGTACCTACAACACTAAAACAGCCAGCAAAATTGTGATAACCGCCGAAACTGATATGATAAAGTCAAATAAAAAGAGAACTGACATGGGTAGGTATAGTTCGATTATTTTAAGTTTGCCCCTCACTGTAAACGTCTTTTTGAACACAGCACGAGAAGCTGAATTACTGAGAAAACTGGTTGGCGCACAATGATTTGACCAGATTTTACAGACGATCAAGTTCATCAAATTTATTTACTATTTCACTGACTCATAGTTCGTATTTGCCAATACCTACAGGCTACAGCCCCACAGGGATAGACGACTTCTCAGGAATTATGTCTGAACTAATTAATAAATTGCACGGCGTTTAACATATGTAACGTTACATCGTCGGTGTTCACAACTTATTTTGGAAATATTTTTCATATCTCCAATACCTACAATGTGCGCTTGTCAGTTTTCTTAGTAATTCAGCTAGCAATTCTCGTGCTGTGTTCAAAGAGACGTTTACAGTGAGGGACAAACTGAAAAAACGAACTATAGTACATCCCTGAATGAGGTCTTTATGATTAGGCTTCTTCCGAGCATCTGTGGAAACATATTTGACAAATAACATTCGGAAACACGTCTATACATACCTATTGCGAGATATCCGGCAGGGTACTTTTCGAAGTATTAACCCGCGCCCTGCTGGGGGGGGGGTGTTTGAACACCCCCTTGTGGTTTTTTGCGAATATCTAAAAAACGGCGGCGCTCCCGTTTTTGGTACACCTCATACACCAGTATACTCTGGGAGCGACACCCTGCACGTGCGCACGTGCAAAATGGGTCACAACTGACTTGTGCACGGCACCCTACTTACTGGTCCCTAACCGTGTACCATTTGAGCGCCATCGGTCCAGCCGTTCTCGAGATCTGGAAACGACCCCTGCACGTGCGCACGTTCAGCAGCACCCCAACTCTGGCACATGGATATGCAGTGCCTAGCAAGGCCATCTATAGAAGGTACAGTCACTCTCCCGCCGACCAATCAGAGACAGATCCTGAGTGACGTCATCCCTGATGCTCGCCAGGGGTGCTCCATTCCATTACAACGTAAATATGACTAACTTTATTTGAAGATTGTTGGTGACACTCTACATATATCGTTCAGCCGTTGAAGTCATTAGAAAGTCCAACTAATTTTCTAGCGATAAAAAAGAGCAGCAATATGCTAAGAAATGGCCGGTTTTGAAGATATACCTAGACGATTTAAAAATCCTCTGCAGTTGCAGGAAAGCAACGTAAAAACGCATCGAGCTTATATTTTTACCATGAATAAATCATTTTTCAGTAAGTTTTTAGATATGGTATCGATTTAATCAACAACTTTATTACAATATTTTTATTACTTGTAACTTTATTTGAAAATAATATTTTCAAAAATGGCAACTGTTGGCAAGTAGCTTTGAAGCGATTGTGGCGCACCGCGCCATTATTGTCCTGAGGCCCCCTTATGATGTCATCAAAAGTGGAGTGACATGGGCCTGGTGCCTAGTGGGTGCCTACCTACATGCCAACTTTCAGCGCAATCGGCCAAGTAGTTACCGGGATATTGCAACAATTACAAAACTGACACCTCTTCGTTTTGCACGTGGCACGTGCATAAGGGGTCACCCACATGCATCGGGAATAGTCCAATACTTGGTAGAAGGAATGAAGCTACCCTACAAAAATTACCGCGTGTAAATCGGTCAAGTGGTTGCTGAGATATAAGCCTCGCAAAAGCGTCCGCACGGCCGGCCGGCCGCTCATACTCAGAAATTTCCGTTAATCTAAGGAAAGACTACGCTCGCTTCGCTCGCTCCGTAATCAATTCTACACATGTTGTGAAAATTTCAGACCAAGGTCATTCAAGATCAGGAGGTCACCAGGTCACTTGAAGAGACCTCACCTCATAAAAAGTTTCAATGTCTGTCATAGCTACACCGAGTGACCGATCGCTTTGAAACTTTCAGCGATTGCTAAGAGCAATAGCACGTACAAAATGTATATCTCAGAATTTGTATATCGATGACCTAAGGTCAGGTCAATTTTGCGACCTCCCCAATTGGGAGAAAATCAATGGGAGAAAATTGAAATGCGCCTCTTTAGGACGAAAGACATTATAAACACTCCCAAACACTGAATTACAAGTGGTTTAGACACCCTGAACATGAAAATGGTGTCCGTGACCCCTGTTGATGCCCTGAGGTCATCTTAGGTCACGAATGGTATCTAACAGTTTTTTGCAAATAACTTTTGATAGAGGCATGCTAGAGCGATGAAAACGCATTAGGTGTGTTCAGCTCGACGATACGGATCGACTGATATGCAACATGACCCTTTCAGGTCAGGTCATGACCTTGACCTGAGGTCAAATTTTCAAGTTGACCTTCCAAGGTCAAGTTATAGTTCATTCGATGCGTCTTGACGAGAGGAACACGATGCCGGTAAAAGCAACCTCGTGCAAGGCTTGGGTCAAAAGTTATTGCAGAAAAACTGTTTCCGAAAAAAATCGGCTATTTTTGCAGTTATTGCCCCCTCCAGGCAAAACCGTTGACGTTAGGTCAAATCTGACTCTGAGAGGATTACTCAGAAACGGCGGTAATAGGGCTATCGAATGCGCTTTCCGCGGCGCTGTTGCTCTATTGGTTCCCGAGATATGCGTTGGCATCTTGGAAATTGTCGACATTCGACATGGAAATCGGCGAAATTTTGCCTTCAATGACCTCTGGTGACCTGACCTTTGACCTGACCAAAAATTGACCGAAGTGATTTCGTCATTATTTTTGACGCTCTTTCGAACGCCGCCTTCCGCGTATCGCTACGTGGCCCAGGAGCCGAGTTAGAAGGGGGGTGTTCAGACCCCCCCCCCCCAGCAGGGCGTGGAAATCCAGGACCCCCAGCCGGGCGCGGGTTAACCCGCGCCCCACTGGGGGGGGGGCTATTTATAGCCCCCCTCCCGTTTTTCTGCAATAACTTCCAAACCGCTTGACGGATCGACGCCAAACTTTCAGTACCTTCGGCTGCATCAATTTGACACCTTGTGTCAAAATTTGAACTTCGTAGCTACCATAGGTCGGCCGGAAATGACGTCAGAGTGACGTCATGTTCGTCCGATTTCGACGCAAAACATTGAACCACGGCAATCGCTCCCAAGAGCTCAGTTTTTAAGCTAGATCCAATTTCTTTGCATGAAAGGACTCAGAATTGACCGCGCTATCAAACTGCTGTCTAGGATTTTAAAAAGTTTGAAAATTTCGAAAATTTTATGTAATAATATTTAAAATTTATATTTTTATATTTTTTTTTCAAAAAGTTTTTGACTTTTCGAAAAAAAACGGAATATATCCCGCGCCCTGCTGGGGGGGGGGTGTTTGAACACCCCCCCCTGTGGTTTTTCGCGAATATCTCAAAAACGGCGGCGCGGAGCGCCGCCGTTTTTGCTACACCTTATCATACATCAATTCTACACATGTTGTGAAAATTTCAGACCAAGGTCATTCAAGGTCAGGTCACCAGGTCACTCGAAGTGACCTCACCTCATAAAAAGTTTCAATGTCTGTCATAGCTACACCGAGTGACCGATCGCTTTGAAACTTTCAGCGATTGCTTAGAGCATTAGCATGTACAAAATGTATATCTCAGAATTTTGATATCGATGACCTAAGGTCAGGTCAATTTTGCGACCTCACCATTATAAGTCAATGGGAGAAAATTGAAATGCGCCTGTTTTGGACGAAAGACATTATAAACACTCCCAAACACTGAATTACAAGTGGTTTAGACACACTGAACATGAAAATGGTGTCTGTGACCCCTGTTTATGCCCTGAGGTCATCTTAGGTCACGAATGGTATCTAACAGTTTTTCGCAAATAACTTTTGATAGAGGCATGCTAGAGCGATGAAAACGCCTTAGATGTGTTCAGCTCGACGATACGGATCGACTGATATGCAACATGACCCTTTCCGGTCAGGTCATGACCTTGACCTGAGGTCAAATTTTCAAGTTGACCTTTCAAGGTCAAATTATAGTTCGTTCGATGCGTCTTGACGAGAGGAACACGATGCCGGTAAAAGTAAGCTCGTACAATGCTTGGGTCAAAAGTTATTGCAGAAAAACTGTTTCCGAAAAAATCGGCTATTTTTGCAGTTTTTGCCCCCTGCAGGCAAAACTGTTGACGTTAGGTCAAATCTGAGAAAATTATTCAGAAAGGGCGTTAATAGGGCTATCGAATGCGCTTTTCCGCGGCGCTGTAGCTCTATTGGTTCCCGAGTTATGCGTTGGCTTCTTGGAAATTTTCGACATTCGACCTGGAAATCGGCGAAAATTTGCCTTCAATGACCTCTGGTGACCTGACCTTTGACCTGACCAAAAAATTGACCGAAGTGATTTCCTCATTATTTTTGACGCTCTTTCGAACGCCGCCTTCCGCGTATCGCTACGTGGCCCAGGAGCCGAGTTAGAAGGGGGGGTGTTCAAACACCCCCCCCCCCAGCAGGGCGTGGAAATCCAGGACCCCCAGCCGGGCGCGGGATATGTGACAGAACGCATGATTATGACTAACTCTAGCAAGTTTTAGCTAAATATCTTCAAAAATGGCCAAGTTATACGCATTATTGCAAAAAATCACAATTATTAATTTTTCAAATCAATTTTTCAGTACGTATTTGACATCGTACACCAATATAAATGGCACCATCGTGTTCCTGAGCTCAAACTGCATTCAATAGACACCTTTTTTGTTGAAGAATTTTAACATCAAAATTTGACCTTTTTTGACCTGAAAGTGACCTGACCTAAGCTAAATTCGACTCAAAATGACCTCGAATGACACAGACGACATCAAATTCGAAATCTATGGCCTAAATGGACCACAAAACATGTGTCACGTGACCGACACATGATATAATATTTCCGTGACCTGTGATGAACTGACCCTGACCTGAAAATCAAAGTACAAGTTTGGTACCCTCAAGGTATCTAGAACATCTGTTCACGAGTGTGGAAACCAAAAATGAGCCTGATCTGACTTGTAAGACGGCGGCCAGAGCCCAAAAGGTGAACAAGCCAAAATGCTAATAATTTTTACTTTGACCTGACCTGTGACGTCATCGGTGACCTCGAGGTCAATGAAATTAGGTTTCGCTCGACAGTTTTTCCGGGGCTATCAGACGCCGTTTGAATTTTGACGATCGGCCCAGTAGTTTCGGAGTTAGGAGGGGGGGGGGCTATGAATAGCCCCCCCCCCCCAGTAGGGCGTGTTATACACAGACCCCAGTGGGGCGCGGGTTAATACCGTTAGGTATGCACAATGCCATAAAGGTAGGTACCTACCTATTGTTGCATTATATGTTGCATGGTGCCACGCCAGTCTGTGGCACCACTGGGTCCGGATCTCCCCTATAAATTTTGTTGCGGCATTTATTTGTGTATGACAGTAGTTATAGGCATGATGATGTAGGCATGCTTTGTTGGTATACTTAAGGATAGGTATAAATACATTTGTTGGTTCAGGTTGCCTCCCCTCCCTCTCAACCCTGAAACAACGGAAGGAAGGTTTCGACCATCAGCTACGTAATAAGCATGATTGTGGAGTAATAATACATATTGTTTTCTTCTTGCGTAGAGGGAAGTGATACACAGAATCACCGGCGTCGGTGTTTTAAACCCTCTCCGCGCCTTCATGGGTAGGCATTGTCTGTAACTACAGTTACGAATATCCAGAAAACCAAGAAAATAACAGAAAACATACGGTATATTCCAGTCACACTTCCGAACACCTCTAAACTCCTCCAAGATTGCTTCCCTGTTCCAGTGACAGCTCTAGCCCCTACAAAGCCAAAGAGGGCCCTGCTCCAACCTCCTCTATCTTGCTCTTGGAGGAATTTATAGGTGTAAGGAAATGCGACTGGAACAGACCCATAGTCAAATGTGGAGCGCAATATTTAACATTTTAAGTCGCATTGTCGAAACCAACCGGAATCGCAATTGTTGTTTATCTCGGGCAGCTAAGGTTAAACCGCGACCGCGGGGTCGGATCCGACCCCCCCCCCTCCGTTTTTCTTGAATAACTCATGAACCGCTTACGCTATCAACTTGAAACTTGGCACACCTTCTCCCCCATCAATTTGACGTCTCCTGTGTAATTTGTGAGAATTTTTTTTTTCAAAACTTTTTGAGATATATCGATTTTAGTGATGTAACTACATGGCGTTTTCAGTCAAAAAGTGGTGTAAATGTTTAAAAAATCGTCAAAAATCAAGGTTTAAAGCAAATTGCAAATTAAGGACATGAATAGACTCAGCTCAAAGAGTTCTTTAAAATGGCTATCTCGGATTTTCCATAAAATGCGTTTTTCACCCCTAAAAATTCAAAAACTTATTTTTTAAAACAGCTATTAAAATTCAAAATTTTGAGAATTTCCAAAAAAACGGAATATATGTTATACAGCTCTATGAGAACATAAGCTTTCCTTTTTCAACCATCGGTGGACAAATTGGGAATCTTTTCTGACAATCGGTGGACATGGAAGCATAGGTGGACCTGTCAGGTCCACCTAAAATAAAAGGTGCCAGAGGCGTTATCAGGGGACACAACTTCATTTAACGCGTCATTTTGCATACGTGGACCTCAAATTATGTCCACCAAAACAATTTCAGATACCACCTTCACTTTTTTGGCGAAAGTTAGTTCCGAACGTCACCACCACGTGGCGATAGCGTCGCGAAATGGCAGTCAGCTGTTGCGCGCGGGCTGTGGCATTTTCTTGCTGGAGAGGAAATTGAAGGTGTCTGCGTTCTGCTGTGTGGCTTGTGTCGTGGCTTGTGTCCTGTTTGTTTTAATATTCAAGACACAAAAAGCAACCGAGATAAAGAAAAGGAGGAGAGAGGCAGCTAAGGAGGTAAGTAAGGATGCATGCATGCTGTACATAATTGCGTGTGACCTTTATAGGCCCCTGCTACGCTACAAAGTGCCTACCTATACATGCATAGTTCTAAACAATAACATTTATAACTACATTATACATGCATAAGTACCTGGGTAGTCACCTGCATTCGCAGATAGCAAACATCATGGCTCCGTGATAATTTGTTCGGTGGCTCCGCTTTAGTTCCCCTTTTCAGACTTGTCTAAGATTATAACAATTGTATAGTGCAAAATGTAATGGCTATATCTTGAAAAGCACAAGCGCCATTGCCCATTTTTGGAAGGACCTCTACGAAGTGGCAATGTGAAAATGCGAATAAAAATGTGGTTCCTGTGGGACTTGAAGTTTCCCCCCTCCCTCTAATGCGGCTACAATTCATCATGTTTGCTTTTCTTTTAATTGTAGATGAAAAGGAATCAAATAGGTTTAAGTTCTGAAATGTTTTATGTTTATGTTTTGAAAATCGATTTAATAGGTAGTAAACTTTCCCTTTTTCATCGGTGGACAAATTGAGCATCTTTTCGGTAATAGGTGGACGTTAAAACATAGGTGGACCTAACGTGGACCTTCCAAGTTCACTTCAAATAAAAGATACCCCTTCCCCTAATGTGCCTGCAATTCATAATGTTTCCTTTTCTTTCAGTTGGTGATAAAATGAAATCAAATAATTTTGAAGTTTTGAAAATCAATTTCATAGGTAGTAGCAATTTGTCGCCCTTTTTAAACATCTGCATGGACAAATTGAGCGTCTTTTCCGTTAAACGGTGGACGTTAGAACCAGTGGCGGTCGCAGGGGGGGGGGCATCAGGGCCATGGCCCCCCCCCCCCCAAGGCAAATCAGGGGGGGGGGGCCATCATATCATTTGCCCCCCCCCCAAACAACCGATGGGCCCCCATGGCCGTATGGGGCCCTGGCCCGTATTCGATTGTCACGAGGCTCGAGAAACCCACGCCAGCCATTAACAGCTCCCATACCAGTCTTTGAGGGTCCTACACTGACCTCTGAGGGCCCTTCAGTGGCGGTCAAGCGTCCACATTGACCGCTGAGGACCCACATTGACCTCTGAGGGCCCTCCACTGGCCTTTGAGGGCCCTAAACCGGCCTCAGGGGCCCAACCGGCCTCTGGTGGCCTCATGTCTGTCTCTCGAGTCCCAAGACTAACCTTTAAGTGTCTCTGAGGGCCCCGCACTGGATTCTGAAGACCCGATGTCGGCCTCTGAGAGCCCGCATCGGCCTCTGGGGCCATCTTGGCCGTTGAGGGCCCTCCGCTGGTCTCTGGGGTCCAACGCCGGCCCATGCCGGCCTTTTAGGGCCCCACACTGACCTCTAAGGGCCCCATGCTGGTCTCTAAGGACCCACATTAGCCTCTAAGGGCCCCCCGCACTGGATTCTGAAGACCCAATGCCGGCAGCTCAGGGCCCGCATCGGCGTCTGAGGGCCCATCTTGGCCTTTGAGGGCCCTCCGCTGGCATCTGGGGTCCAACGCCGGCCCATACCGGTCTTTTAGGGCCCCACATTGACCTGAGGGCCCCATGCTGGCCTGAAAGGACACACATTAGCCTCTATGGGCCCCGCACTGGATTCTGAAGACCCGATGCCGGCCTCTAAGGGTTCGCATCGGACTCTGAGGGCCCATCTTGGCCTTTGAGGGCCCTCTGCTGGCCTCTGGGGTCCAACGCCGGCCAATACCAGTCTTTTAGGGTCCCATTCTGACCTTTGAGGGCCCCATGCTGGCCTGTAAAGGCCCACATTAGCCTCTGATGGCCCCCGCACTGGAATCTGAAGACCCGATGCCGGCCTCTAAGGGTCAGCATCGGCTTCTGAGGGCCCATATTGGCCTTTGAGGGCCTTCTGTTGGCCTCTGGAGACCAACGCCGGCCCATGCCGATCTTTTAGGGCCCCACACTGACTTCTGAGGGCCCGTGCTGTCATGTAAGGACCCACCTTAGCCTCTGAGGGCCCCGCACGGGCTTCTGAAGACCTGATGTCGGCCTCTAAGGGCCCGCATCGGCCTATGAGGGCCCATCTTTGCCTTTGAGGGTCCTCTACTGGCCTCTGGGGTCCAACGCCGGCCCATGTCGATCTTTTATGGCCCCACGCTAACCTCTGAGGGCTCCATGCTGGCCTGTAAAGACCCACATTAGATTAGCCTTTGAGTGCCTGCCCAATTCGATCTCTGATGGTCTCAAACTGCCCTTTGGAGGCCCTGTACTGGTCTCTGAGGGCCCTAAACTGGCCCCTAAGGACCCAAACCAGCCTCTAAAGGTCCCACACCGGCCTCTGATGGTCCCATTTCTGTCTCTGGGACCCAAACTGACCCTTATGTGCCTCTGAGGGCCCCGTACTGGCTTCTGAAGGATCGATGCCGGTTTCTGAGGACCCATAACGGTCTTTAAGTGCCTCATACCGTCACCTGAGGCCCCACACTAGCCTCTGAGGGGGCCCAAAACTGGCCTATGAGGTCTCTACACCGGCCACTGATGGCCCTATTATGTTCTCTGGGGGCTCAAGCCTTACCTTTGGACGTCACGCACTTGCTTTTGAAGGCCCACATCAGCCTCTGGGGCCCTACCTGGGGCCTTTGAGGCCCTTCGCTGACCCTTGGATCCAACGCCGGCCTCTGGGGGTCTGACACCGTACTATAAGGGCCCCATTGCAGCCTCTAGGCGATAGGTATCGCTGAAGCGCTATCGATGGGCCGAAGTAAGTGTAGGAACCATGGGTGCAGTGGGCGCAGTTGCACCAACAATAATTCTGCATAGGGTGCAGACAATGTATTCTGCATTCACAATAATCTGGAACAAACCCCCTTTTCTCAGCAACACTACTTTCCATGCAGCACGACAAATTTAGGATATTTTGCCCACTATCCATCTTTCGAAGCATTTGCTATTGTAATGGTCTTCAAAACTTACATTTGTGCTCAAGTACATAAAAAACAAAAATGAAACGGAACACGTGTGATTGAACAGTGAACAGATACCGATGACCCACTGTCAAAAGTTTTAGCACGCTGATCTCAGAAAATGGCAAAGTTAGCCGTCTTTACTTTTGCGGTAGTCCATTCACATTTGCGTGAGTTATTGGCATTATCAATGCTTTAAAATGCACTTATCGGTACCTTTTCGACATGGAACATCCTCAAAGCTCGCAATGAGCCTCCGCTCGGGTGCCGCTCCCTACCCCCCCCCCCCCCCGCTTCACCGGCCATGGCCTGGATTTCTGCACCCGTGCACTACGCCCGTGGGTCCCTTCTAGCACCGGGCCCCCCGGGTCAGCGCAGGGGCCCCTTTGCCAAGTTGGCCCCCCCCCAAACTCCAAGTCTGCGACCGCCCCTGGTTAGAACATAGGTGGACCTAACGTGGACCTTCCAAGTCCACTTCAAATAAAAGATACCTATGATGCTTTGTGAGGACGTACCGTTTCTTACTCCGGAGCGTTGCATAATAGCCTGGGGGAGGAGGGGAGGAGTACGTTCATGCCCCCATGCTACTAATGGGGCGTTTAGGAGTACGTCATAGATAAAGCTAAAGGCCGATCGGATAATATCAGGGGCGTAGCCAGAATTTCCTCAAGGGGTGGGGGCAAACTTACAGGGGCTCAAGGTAACCCCTTTAAAATCCAAAAAGTCAGCGTATTTCATCCACTATTTTTTGGAAGGGGCCTAAAAAATTGAAAAATGTGTATTTAAAAAAAATGTTAGAATTGAGGGGGCAATCAGTCCATGGGCCCCTGCTAGATAGGCCCACGAATAAATAGCTTCACAGAGTCGCTCAGCCGGTTCTGAAGGCGGACTGAGGAGTGAGGGCCCCGTAGGTCGGATGAGTGTCCTTCAGACCGTCAAAGGCCCCCGCAGCCCATGAGAGCCTCGTAAGCCGTCTGAGGGTCATGTAAGCCGTCTAAGTACCACTCAGACTGACAAAAGCCCCCCTTGCAATTGCAGAAGGCACTGTCGGACCGACGGAGGGCCCTCTCAGACAAAGTAAGGGCCCGTTCGGGTCATTTGAGGGTCTCCTCAAACCACTAGGGGCCCCTCGGATCGACCGTGGATCCGATCTGAGATGACCCCAAACCGACACGTGGTCACACCAACAGTCGGAAACCAACAGATCAAAAGAGGGCCCCTCAAGTGAACAGAGGGCTCTCTCAGGTCGATCGAGGGCCCCATAGACCGGCAGGGGCCATCAAAGCAGCGGACGGTCTCTCCCAGGTCAGGAGAGGGCCCCTGAGACTAACAGAGGCCCCTCATATCGATAGAGGACCTCCTCAGGTGGGGAAAGCCCCTCCAGTTGATACAGGCCCCTCGGATGAAGAAAAGGCCCATCAGGCCATCGAGTGTCCCTCAGACCGACAGAGGGCCCTCTCGGTCCAAAAAGGCTCCTAACGCAACTAACGGTTTATTTAACAGAGGGTCCGTCAGATGTTCTACAATAAAATATGCATATTATTTACACCTTGATTTTGTGTACATACCGTTAGACCCATCCCATCAGCCTGGGGGCCATCAGAGGCACATAATGGTCAGTCTTGGGTCCCATACACAGAAAGAAATGGGACCATCAGAGGCCGGTGTGGGACCTTAAGATGCCGGTTTGGGCCCTCAGAGGCCAATTTAGGGCCCTCAGAGCCCAGTACAGGGCCTTCAAAGGGCAATTTGAGACCATCAGAGGCCGACTTGGGCCCTTAACTAGGAGAATTATGTGGGTACCTAGTCCTACAGGCCAGCATGGGGCCCTCAAAGGTCAGTGTGGGGCCCTAAAAGACCGGCATGGGCCAGCGTTGGACCCAGAGTCCAACAGAGGGCCCTCAAAGGCCAAGATAGGTCCTCAGGCCAATGCGGGCCCTTAGAAGCCGGCACCGGGTCTTCAGAAGTCGGGGCCGTTCAGAGGCACCTACTATGCATTTCAGACCCCATGAGACCCTGCTTTTTGGCGATAATTTCTTCAATTTTTGTCCAATTAGCTTGAAATTTTGGCAGACGATATTTCAGCTCAAGCGCCAATTTTTGTCAATATGGTCTCTTAACAAAATATCAAAATTTAGAGCACTTGTCGTTGGCTCGTAATGTTAATAAGTTTTTGCACCCGGATAGAGGCTCGCTCGCTACCGCACCGGATTGGATAGGAGCGCTGGCCAATCACGTTGCGCCGGGCCCAACTAAACTCCGCCCACTGGCCGTGACCGCGATGGCCCTATGCCGCTTCAGTCGGTGTCAGCACCGCGGAGAGGTCGGAGCGGGACCACATACTGGAGACAAGTGAAGCTGGCAAAGTTGTTTCGGGACGAAAGCCAAAAAATTATCCGTTTGAGGGCATTTGGTATCCTCTTCACCTTATTTTGGTATTTAAACGTCGAACCAGCTCAGAATATTCAGAATGATCAGAATCAAGGTAGGATCTATTGGAACGGAACCGGTCGTAGAAGGAAAGATGGATAGACTCTTGGACTCTGAACATTTATTTAAGCCGGAGTTGCACCTATCTCATCGTCAGGTTGGGTCAGGTCACTACCCGATTACCTATAATAAGATCATGTGTAAGCCTGTGCTTAACCCAAAAATATTGATATATTTGGCAGTGCCAATAAATGTTTCTGAGGAAGGCGCAGAAAGCAACATAGTAGGATGAAGAGTCTCGGGCACGGCCGATTGCCTGGGGCATCGCTCCAGCGAAACGACCGTATTCGTGATTCGTGAAGCGGTGCGGGGCGCCGGGTGGGGCAGAAGCGTAATGTGTCGTATGGTAGAAATGGCCATTATCGCGGTGTCATGTGTGTGTTATATTGTTAAGACGTGCACAAAAAGAAATAGCAATGTGGCAGGCGGACGTTGGGCACTACACGAGAACGATCATCAATAAACTCGTATCTTTTTTGTAAAACTTAAGTAACAGTATGTATGTCCTCAAGGTGAGGAAACTACCTCTAGGCTTTTACTTTTCATGTTTGCATTTCAACACACAAGCTCTGGGGGCAAAGTTAGTCTGGCGACCTCCTCAACCTAAGTCGATGATCAAATGGATTCTGAAGGTGTTCAATGCTTAGTTGCACCGGGATGATATAAATCGATCACGCCGGCATACATTCCTAATCAAATTTTATATATTAAACACATAAATTGCATCATGTTAATGGTGATTCTGTTTTGCAATTTTGACGTAGTCTGACGCGATACATAATCTCACGCAATCATTTGAAATCAACAGCGTCTTTTATGCGCGTTTTTTTCACAAGCCCCGAATCTTGTGTGGAAATATATATTTTTTTGTGACTGAACAAGGTGTACGTACATTTGTGATAGATACAATTAGTCGAGGGCTTCAGCTGGTGCGTTACTTATGCGCGCTAGTTAGCTTATTCGATGAAATTACGGCTGCAACGACAACTGCACGGCAGCTACGGTCCATGCGAGCCGCCCCGGTGCGACAGCTAATGCCCCGCCCGCTCCACGCAGCCGACTGACCGGCCAAGGTCACTACCCCGTCCGCCGGGAGGGCGGAGCTTAATGGTCACGTGTTTGTGACGTCACACCTACGCACGGATAGCCTCTACTCCACTGACGGATTTACGGAGCGGATTTTAACATTACGAGGCAACGACAAGTACCCTAAAATTTGATATTTTGTTAAGAGACCATATTGGCGAAAATTGGCGCTTGAGCTGAAATGTGCATTGTGAAAATTTGAAGCAAATTGGACAAATAGTAAATAAATTATCGCCGAAAATTAGGGTCTCATGGGGTCTGAAAAGCATAGTAAGTGGAACCCAAGAAACAGAAATGAGGCCAACATAGGCCAGTTTGAGGCCCTCAGACGCCGGTTGGGGCCCCCTGAGGCTGGTTTAGGGGCCCTCAAAGGCCACTGGAGGGCCCTCAGATCGATGTGGTGAATGTGGGCGCCTTACCGCTACTGAAGGGCCCTCAGAGGTCAGTATAGGACCCCAAAGACCGGGATGGGAGCTGTTAATAGCTGGCGTGGGTTCCTTGAGCCTCGTGACAATCGAAGAAGGGTCACGGCCCCGGGGGCCCATCAGTTTCTTTGGGGGGGGGGGGGGGGGTGCAGATGATATGATGGCCCGCCCTGATTTGCCTTTGGAGGGGCAATGAACCTGACCCCCTCCCCCGCAGCGACCGCCACTGAGTAGGTAACTAATGACGGTTCAATTTTGCACCATCGCATAGTTTGTTTTCATATTTCATTCTACTTACGCTATTTCATTATGCCCTTTACCGTACTTTTGACAATGCAATGGGGCCCTTTTGGGCTCAAGGGTGACCATTGCCCCTGTGCCCCCCCCCCCTTGGCTACGCCCCTGAATACTATTTAGCAGCAAATACTTTACGTTCTCTCTCTTTCTTTCGTTCTCTCTCTCTCTCTCTCTCTCTCTCTCTCTCTCTCTCTCTCTCTCTCTCTCTCTCTCTCTCTCTCCACACTGGTAACCAACTGTTTTTTTTTTCAGAATATGAGGAGGACTATAGTGACGTTCGACTGCCTGCTGTACTTTGGTCCACACTGTGCGGAACTCCGCCGCAAAGTCAGGCCCAGGGTAGTCCAGCTCAGGAAGTTGACAGGACGCTCGTGGGGTCTGGAGGAGCGGCAACTAAGGACGGTAGCAAAGGTTACGTCAGGAGGGGGGGGGGGCGCTCTGCAGCCGCCTGGCTGCCGTCGATCCCCCCCCCCCCCAGCACACGTGGAGCTCATAGCAAGAGAGTTGCGCGCCGCGGCCCGTGCTGTGGGATGGCACCGAGGGATCGAGAGAGGTGGAACTGGCTGCGCTCTCAGCGGCGGGGGCCCGAGACGTCCCAGTGGAGGCCCGCCTTCATCACTCCCTGCCGCCGTGGACCGACAGCACTCGGATTCTACCTGGACCTCGGTCCGCGGGCCAGCCGCGCGGCACCTTAGAGACCCGCCGTGCCGTGGCGGAGGAGCGCATTCGAGAGCTCCCACCCGAGGCCGTATGGGTCTGGTCGGACGGCTCGGCGGAGGGTGGCGTGGAGAACTTCAGCATGGCGGCGCGCTGCTGGCGGCTCTGGAGGCGGCCGCCGAGCTGCCGGGCTGCAGAGGAGTGCCTGTAGTCGCTTGTCTTGACTCGAAGGCGGCTCTGCTGCTCCTGGCGCTGCGGCCCAGGCTTCGATACTGGGCGCTAGGCTGTGAACCCAGCTCCAGCGCGTGACGGCCGACGGCAGCACGGTTACGCTGCAATGGGTCCCGGCCCACTCTGGACTCGCCGGTAATGAAAGAGCGGACGCCCTGGCCAAGGAGGCCGCCGCTGTGCTCCAGCAGTCAACCCCGGTTGATGTCCGCACCCTCACGCGGGTTGTCCCGCGGTCCACCAGGAGGAAGTGGCGGGCGGATTGGCCAGCCGACTGGTACCGCTAACCGCACCGTCATGGGGGGCCGCGCCCCCGCCCCGGTCCGGACCGCCACCAGGGAAGAGGCCGTCGACTTACATTACCTCCACCGGATTGGACGAAGATCATCGCCTGAGTGCGCCCAATGCAAAGACAAAGAGTGTCCAGCGGGCCGCTGACTGGTCTGCTCTGAAGCAGCGGACACCCCGGCGCACGTGCTGCTGGTGTGCCCGTGCCTGTACGGCCCCCGGCTCCGTGCGCTGGGCAACATAATCGGCGCGGCCCACGACGTCCGCCGCGACGATGTGGTGGCGGCCTTGGCCGCTGGCTACATGGACCACAAGAGCTGATTACCGACTACGCTACCGCTCCGTCGGTAGCCGGGGGGAAACAACAACAACAGCTGGTTGATGAGTTGAGAGCATTGACAGACCCAGTGTCTCCACTTTGGTTGATGCGGGACCTTTAGAGTTCTGGTAAACTCAAACAAGTCGTAGATCCGCGGCATGTGGGTCTTTTGTTTTGTTCCTGTGTTTCATGCTATTGAAATAAATGGCTGACGTTCACTTCAGGGTTTATATTTGCACACACAAAAAGTCGTTTGTTATTTTAACCCTGGCACTTGACGGGGGGGGGGGGACTGAACCTTCCGCAGTTTTTCGCGAACAACTCGCGCAAAACGCGGCAGATCACCACGAAACCTTTGACCTGCAGTACCCTACACCATATAAAGTTCACTCAGGGTCAAGGTCACACAAGGTCTGGCTTCATAGGGGCAGGTTACTAGTTTTCTGAGCATATTTGAGGTCAATTAAATAGTTGTTATCAACTTCTTTGCGAGTTTGAGCATCAAGGTGATTATTTAGAGCAAAATGGTTGCCAGAAAACCCGCCATGTGTCAAGGTTATCCGAGGTCATTTGAGATAACTGATCTAGGATGATCTTAGATTGCCGTTTTTCGCTTAAGGTCAAGTTTAGGGCAATTTTTATTGTCCTAACTCAGTTTGACCATGATTTACCCGTTTTTATTGGCTTATAGCGTCCGCAAGAGCTCCGTCTCCAGTGACTAAGATTGGCTCGGCTTCGAATGTTTGACCTGACCTCTGAGGTCACCGGTTCACCTAAGACCCTAACATTGGGTACCATTAGTTTTCTGTCCCATTGTGGGCTGCATGCTTGTTTTTTTTTCTGTGAAGCTCTAGGTCCATCAGGGACATAATGGTTGGGGGGGGTCCAACGCTTCCCCTCTTACACGTCAAGTGCTGTAAAAAGCCGCACACCGGCTAATGTCCACACTACAGTCCATCCTTGACCTGAACACACTCACCACTGCGAAGGACTGTAGCATTACCACCAGTGATCAGTTTTCCGGTAGGCCTAGGACGACACCCTCGCTGAGGCGCACTCAAGACACCGAACGGGGTGAGCCCCAATAGTGGTGCGACTAGAAGGAGAGCTGCGTAGTATAATACACAGCACTCGCAGTTGCGGTATTCAGCATTTATATAGTGGTCAATATACACGCATGATACTTAGGTATCCCTTTAAAGTATAAATTATAAATGCATGTAAGTATTTGTGATACAGTGCAAGGAGCACCAGCTTAAACACCGTAACACGTGGCACGTGAAGAGCAGGGGGCGTCGAAAATAGGCCTCTTACTATACCAAGGTAACGGCTGGGCCGATCGCCATTAACCCTCGCATGTGTGCGGCGTTTGCCAGCTTCTAATGTGTAGGGGGGGGGGGTCGGTTGGACCCCCCCCTTGCCGTTTGGCCCCTGATCGAGCTAGAGCTTCGCGGAAAAAACGAGCGTGTTGCCCGTGACGAGAGAAAGCCGATGATATCCAATTTTAAGGTCCTAGGTCATTGGTTGACCTTCCAGGTCAGGTCAATGACCCCAAAGTCGGGAAAATCGGGACCTGTTAGAAAGTCGTAAAGAGTGGCTGCTAAGAGGTTTTTCGGGGTGCTGATCACGAATATCGTGTTAGTTTTGATCACAGATGATGTCTTGAAGCATTTAGACCAGGTCGGGTCAGGTCAGGTCAGGTCAACCAGTAGGCGTCGTGACGGGTATTCGTAGTACGTGTCAACCGCCTCTGACAGCTTCGTAACATGTTACAAAGTCACCAAAACTACTTCGTAAATGTTCAAATGGTTGCTAAATTCGAATTCAGCTCCAAAAACTAGCCTAGAAACATGTAAAACTCGAAAAACTGAACCGAGGTCACCCGAGGTCACCAAAGGTCAATGACCTGACCTGACCTTCAGGTGACCTTGACACCCACGGGAGTAACATCAAATTACATGTTTGAACGTTTGAAACCACGAAAAGCTTGCAAACGCGCGGCTAATGCGAGCCGACATACGCAGAATCGCGATTCCCGCCAAACATGGTCTCGGAAAAGAGGTCACAGGTCAAAGGTCATTTGGGTCAGGGTCATGAAATTTTCAGGGTAGGTGTAAAATTGATCAATGTGAGGGTACTGAAAGTTTCGTCGCCATCGGCCGCTTTTTACGCGAGTTATTCGCGAAAAACCATGGGGGGGGGTCCATCCGACCCCCCCCCCCCTACACATGCGAGGGTTAAACTTGACATGCATCTACTGAGAGACCCGAGAGTTAACGGTTTGGCAATAGTCTGGATAGGGATAAATCCGCACGTGCAACGTGCACACAATACACATCCTGGTACCTTCCCTTTTCAAGCATAGGTGGACAAATTGGGAATCTTTTCTGACAATCGGTGGACCTGGAAGCATAGGTGGACCTGTCAGGTCCACCTAAAATAAAATGTACCTCGTTGCTGAGATAAGAAAATAAAAGTTTTCGGATGTGTATTGTGTGCACGTTGCATGTGCGGAGTTATCCCTATCCGGACTATTGCCAAACCGTTAGCTCTTGGGTCACTTCCAGGTGATGCATGTCACGTTTTTTTGACGATCGGCCCATCCGCTGCCTTGATATAGTTAGAGATTTATTTTATGAATATTATCGATACGGGCGTATCCCAGAACGCCTGTGTTGATAATATTCATGGTAAGAGAGATGAAGCTATCCAGCAAAGGAAACTACCATGGCAATCGGTGGCACGGCTGCTGAAATATAAAATCCCGGCCTGCCGCTCATACAACTATTCCCCCCCCCCCCCCCCCATAAGATAACGAGGAACGAACGGTTGCGACAGCACGTATTCATATTAACAAGTCCACTTATATTATGTATAGCTCAACAAAAGGTGTCCATCCAAGAGACAATCATTTCCTTGAAATTACGTCCACTGAAAATTGTCTGAAGACCACAGATATGTGTCCCCCCAAATGTCTGGTTCAGTCCTTGAAATGTCCACCTATAGCGATTTGGATACCATTTTTTAAACGCTTATATTTTCTGAAGCATTGCACCGATAGAAGAGGTCAAAACAATATTGGTAGATGTGGCTCAAGTCTATCACCAGGCAAGATTTCAAGGCCGTATCTCAAGCCATTAAGAAGTCCACCAAAACACAACTAGATGAAATGTCCACCGATGCTTGTTTTGGGAATATGTATGTTGTCCCAAATTTCAACTTTCTTTCTTGATTTTTGACCCCCAAATTGTAAAAAATAGCTCCAACATGCATAGGGCATGGTGACGTCATAAGCATTTTTGTGATTTAGAGGCACTTCTCAACATCGCATATGAAAACAAATGTCAGCACCAGATTCCTGGGATAAAGCTCGTCTAGAAAAAAAGCATTTTTATGTCAAAAATAAAAAGTTAAAAAATTGACTTTTTTCTTTCCACTGAATCAATTCTTTTCATTACAGAGACATATTTTACATTACACAGACATTTCAAAGCTCCTAATGCGAAGCAGGTTGATTTGCTAAGCAACGAAGTCCTACAAATCAGCTTAAGTTGGTGGGGAAAAACGCTTATAGGTGGGGTAAAATCAGTAAAATGACAAGTTGGTGGGGCAGCCGCCCCCATCAACTGAAAAGGGAGCTCCTCCGCCCCTGGTCTGTGTTTGTTTGTTTTCCCGAAGCTATCAATTCTGTAGCGCTTTTGAGATTGTTCTATATTCGAGAACAATTCAGTGGAGACACGGGCACGCGCTGACATTTTCGGTTGTCCAGCACATAGCTGCAGCGAGCCACAGTGCAACCCACGACGACGGCAGGCTGGCGCCTGGCCGGCCTCCAGCTGGCGTCATACCGCGGTACCTTCGGTCCAGTACCTTCTAAAAATATGGCTCACCCGGCGCCGTACTGCGCAGTTGGCGAGCGCGGCGCCTCGCGGAACCTTCCCGAGCCCGGCCTCCAGCCCTATGCGGGGAGGGGGGGATCGGCAGCGCTGATAGCGGTGGGACAGGCGGTGCACGTTCTCCGGTCGGCGCGGCCCCGGCCCGTCAGGGTGACCTCGCTCGCCGCTCCCCCATCCCCCGGCAGCTATCGCCCCCAACTGCGCAAAAGCGGTGCACAGACACGAAACTGGGCCTCGCAAGCGGCGAGGCGCGGGGCCGGGGAGGGGCCAAGGCTGACGGCTCAGGCCTGCGGAGGTGAGGGCGATTGGGAACACAAACTATGATCTCAAAACCTACTGGCGGTACGACTGCGATTATGCGAATCCTTATATGTACGAGCTAGGGCAAGCAACTCATCGTATCTCAACGGGCTGGGGGATCCCCCAGCCTGAAGTTATTTTCCTCACGCTCTTACAATCAATTATTTCATATGGGTGGGTAATGGTATATATACAGGGTGTCCGGACATGATTTGCCCAGTGTTCCATTTTTCAGGCTTTTTGATGGCAAATCACACCTAATGGGGAAAATACTTTCATCCCTAGAATATGAATGACCGACTTTACTTCATCTCTGAAAAAAGTTTCATGTATTCTCAACAGCCAGTTTACATGTCACTTGACAGTTGATGCACCAACATCCTTTTGTTTCACACCCTGTCAAGATTCTGACATGAAATCCTGGTTTATCAGTTGACATACAAATTGGCATTACACCATTCTGCAAATATACTTCGGTTATTTATTTCCTTTTTGTTTTTTCTCATCCAAGGATTTTTTTCTTCATCGACACACCCAACCAAAATCCAATTTTAGAACACTGGATTTGCCCCTCCATCAGCTCGCCGCCATAATTAATAAACAAAGAGCCCCGGGTCATGGTTCAGTTACCAATTAATCCCCTGCCCTGTCCTACCCATTTCCTCATCTGCTTTGGCATTCCATAGATCAAGATGTTTAAAGAATCCGCGCTGATGTTCAGCCACACCTTTCACAGGTTCCTCTAAAGTCCGTTTTCTGTGGGAGCTGGTTCAATCTTGCTACCTTTTTAACCTCCTTCATGATTTCCCATAGGGTTTCGATTGGGATTAGAACAGAGGATTGGATTTCACTTCATGCTGCATTCCATGCTTCCCATAATTTCAGCGCGATGACGCTTTGTCAAAGAGTTTCTTTCGTCACTTAGACACCACGTTCAGGTGCGAGTTACGCCTGCCAAAACTGGCCCCAGGCGCCTCGCAAGTGTCAAGGTCAGGTGACCGCCGGGTTAGTTCATCGCACGGTAGGATTATAACTGAATGAATAAGGGGCAAATAATTTCCGGACACTCTGTATACTATAGGTACCTTTTTCCGCTCAATTTCCTTTCCAAAAAACAGCGTCAACGTACGTTTAACTTATCATCGTACATCGTTCAAGCTGTCATGGACAGAATCTAGTCAGTGAGATTGATTCATGCATTATTGACATGAAATCTTAGCCCTGTTGGTAGCAAATTGTTTTCATCCCCCTTAGGTTTTTCTAGAATAGTTCTGAAATGGCTGGATGCTAAATTTTTCTGATTTTCCTTTAGCAACTGAAGACATTCTCTGAAAATTTCAAGTTGATGAATGTAGTAGGGACGGCTCCAAGGCATCGTAAATTGGGATGCTCTGCACGTGACGCGTCAGCGCGGCGGTGCCCGACTTGCCCAGACGCGTGGCGTGACGCGTTGGCGGTGATCGACGTGCCTCGACACGTGGCACCGATAGTGACATACCCCGACGCTCACCGATAGCGACACAAAGACGCTGGCCACCCGTCCTATCAGGCATGCCGCGGCACAGCGGGCCACAAACAGCGGCCGGTCTTTGTCTGAACGGGACACAGACGGTGGCAAACGTGCAGAGTTGGGCAAGAGCACATCCAACATATCACAACACCCCAGTCCCAGCGCCCAAATCTTATAAAGAGCGTACGATTATATTCACGGCATTTGGTGGCATGCCGCATGTTAAGTGATGCCACTGCTGGCAAATCCGTGGTAAAGTCAACGAGACTATTCCTGGGACCGTCAACATACGATTAACTGAAATGCGTTAACCATTTTGCATTGTGAGCTTCAGCCAGTTTTGTTAAGTCCAATCTATGGCATTTATAAGATTGGGCCCCGGTTTCACCTGCGCGGCCCACCAGTGCAGCGGTTTCGGTCTGCCCGGCCGGGGCGCGGAGACCGGCCAGGGTCCCGGCTGTCCGCATCGACCGGAGCCGCTCCCTGTCTGCCAACAGCTGATGGTGGGGTGGCGGGGCGGGGAGGGGATTGGGGGAGCGGTGACCTCTGCCACAGGGTCCGTTCGGACCGCACTGCGACGCGGCAGCGGGGAAGGGGACGGGAGGGGAGGGGAAGGGAGGGCCGGCGGCGGCCGCTCGCTGCGGAGCCAGGCAGGTGGTGAAATCCGACAGGCGCCGCGCCGGTCGCGGGCCGCCGTCTGCCGACCATATGGTGTCGGCCGAGCGTGTCGGGGCAGAACGGGCCCGGGGTATACTGAGGAATGCGCCGTTATAGCACGGACCGAACGTTTGTGCTACTGCAAAGTCAACAGGATAGAAATGGACGGTTTTCATAAAATATCGCACACGAATAAATTGAACACCTGAGAATAATGATGACAAAAATCATCACTGATTTTCTTCCCAGCATTGTGAATTTCATGATTTATTACGCTCATCGGTATTATAAAAACATTATAACTTGGTGCCGGTTTTTAGAAAACGTAAGTATGCCATATGTCCATCCATCGTCCGGATTTTTCTTCGGCTGTCCGTCTAAAAATGTCCAAGCCAGCCGTTTGTCCAAAGATGTCAAAAAGCTGCGCAATTATTTGCACTTAACACCCATTTAATTTGATTTTCATAATATACTGTTACCAGCCCCAAAGTGTTTTATCATATCGAGAGCTGAGCTTTCTATTCGCCAAACGATTCCATACACGATTACTTTGAACAAATGCTGAAATGTTGCAACTGATTGTCCCATGTTGCCCAAGGCCTGATGTCTTTGTCCAACCAAATTCCGAATCAGGCATCGGACAAAATCGGAATTCCTAAGGTCCAAGTTCCGATTCGCACCACACCTCAAATGAATACAGATACGCATGGTTGAGTGCACACCCATTGAAATACCAAACACCAAGACGGTGTCTGTCTGTTTCGCATCTGTATGCCAAAAAGTTGGTATCTGATTGACGTTTCTAGTCGGAACGGTGAACTAAGCCTCAAGAACTCAAGATATCCTCTGCAGTCCACATGCCCACCTTGGCTCATTTTGTACGCGGCAGCAGGCTCGTATGGATAACGGATACTCGACAGGCCCCTGTCCCATTGCCATCCTGTGTGCGCCCCTGCCAGTGCCGTCTAGTCCAGGGACACCTGCACCGACGCCGGGGCTGGCTGGCTCTCACCGAGGCCGCGCCGGTCCGGGCCGGATGGGGACCGCGGGTCATGGCGGCCGGCCCGGCCTCGGGGCTGAGGCAGCCGACGGCCGGGTCCGAACCGGTACTTACCGGCCTCGCGGAGGGTAGTTACCCGTTCGGCGCTTTGACTGTTCCCCAGCCGAGCCCAGCCGTTTGGTGCGGCCAGAGTGCAACGCTGACGGGAAACGCCAGTGCAGCGGCCCAAGGTTCGCCCATATGTGGTCCGGCCAGCCGGAGCAGCCACAAAGGACACCCTGTCAAGTTGATTGCTATGTATCGGGAGTCCCCCGTTCGCGCAGTCTGTACGCAGCCGCAGCGATGTCTTTCCATCAATGACAGACATCCAAGGTTCTCGCAATGGCGTGTCTGTTGTCCCATTGGTTCTCAACCGTCCGGGCCTCATTGTATTGTATTGTATTGTATTGTATTGAACAATCATGAGCGATCCACATTCTGAAAGTGCGTGGCGATTACTGCTCATAATGTCCTTCATTCGTGCAATACTTGGTAATGACATTCAAAGGACTCCTCGCCCATGGTCCAGCTTTATTAGTCCTGTCAAGCTAGTCTCGACTCCAGACCACAGTCCTATTAGTCTCGGCGGTTATCTCATAGCAATGGTTCGAATTTAATGGTCCCCATGGATTTATTATGTAGTCTGGTACCGAAGGTCTCTTGACTGGGTTGGGTGGGGACAGCCTTCTCATTGGTCTAGCGTTTATGGTCGGGTCCTGTCGCCTTTTTTAAATAAATTTGGCCCGAACATTTTGAATGGAAAGATTCACAAGGACAGAGCCCCGCTAAGCGAAGCTTGCTGCGTTGGCCCTGCCCTCTACCTCCCGATCGCGCAATGCCTTGTCTATGGGAGAATTTAGGGTCGCCTGTCCTGTGCAAAGTGCGTGGCCTTCCTTTGATACTCTTCTGTTAGTGCAGTCCACTATTTATCATAATCAATGATCCTCGAAGGTTGAGCTGATCTCTAATAACACTAATTTTTAATGCCTCTGTTTTTTATTTTCTTTAATCATGTTAAGCTGTTCTGTAAGTCATTGATATATACGGCCCAGTGGTAAAGCCCACAGGGCTGTGGCGCAATGCTGTGGTGTCGCTGCCACGCTGAAGCTCCGTCCACAGCCGTCCGTCTCTGTCAGCGGCTGTGGCGTCCCTATGCGGCGGAGCGTCGCCGGCGGCCCCTGTCACAGTCTGGGTCACAGCCGCCCCTCAGTCGCACTCACTCACACACCAGTCAGTCGGCACAGGCTCGCCGTGTATTGGACGTTCACGTAGAGAAGTCGTACAGCTTAATATCTAGGTTCCGGAGCGAGCGGCGTCGGCCCCGCGGCGTCCAGTGCGGTCGGTCGGTGCGGTCCGTCCTGGAGCTCCTTACAGCTAACGGCGGCTCGGTGCGCCCGGGCCCGGTGGGTCCCGGCACTCCGGGCCGCCACAGTCTAAACGTATACACAGAAAACATTGTCTGGTCGGCCGTGCGGCTCCGGCCGGTCGCAGCGGCTCTAGTCAGCAGTCGGGTCTGACCGTCCCAGTCCGCCGGCCCGACCAGGGCCCGCACACCGGCCACCGTCCCTCCCAGCGCCCCGGCCCCAGGCCAGTCCCCGTCCAGCAACACAAAGGTACCCAGCGGCCGCGCGGCCGCCGCGGTCTGCGTCTCTGTCCACAGCAACACCACAGTCGAGGAAAGCGGCACGCGGGAGCCCAGCCACCCGTTCCCGTCACGCGCCTAGCTCAGAGGGAGAGAAAGAGAAAACGAGGAGAGGTTCACTACATCTACATCTATCGCGCGTCGCTATCCGTACGTGTACGAGCGTGTGTCGTGTGGGTGAGGTGCGTGTCGGCCAGTACTGGTGACCGTGTATGTGTGTGTGTGTGAGTGGGTGCGGTCAGCCGCCTCCGTCTCTCTGTCAGCCGGTCCGAGGGCGGTCGGCACGTGCCGTCAGGTCGGGGCTGTCAGCGCGCGCGTCGGCCCAGTCGCAGTGAGTCTCTCTGTCGTCAGAGCCTGCGGACACAGGGCAGACGTTCCCAGTCAGATGGTCGGCGCGCCGTGCGTCAGTCGGTCAGCTCCGACCCCAGCGCCGCCTGCCGCCGAGACCGGCGCTGTGCACGGCTCCCCCTACGGCCCGCTCTCGGTCATATCAACGGTGAAAGCCATGGGCTGGCTTCACGGCCGTGCTGTTGGTTAGTTGTAAGCTCAGTGCAGTTACTGCACACTGGGAAAGCGAGTTCAGAACAAATACTGGTACCTACTTACGTCCTCCACATACGTACCTGATGTCAACGTCAGATATGCTCAAATCATAACAGAACATTGGTAAAAATGAAACCCATCCCAGTTTCTGTTGTGGTTGCAAGCTTGTCGCTGCATGAAGTAGGTAGGATGCTCTCCGAAAAAGCATGCGCTGTTAATTCATCGTTCTCATCGAAGTTTTGCCCTGCAGTAGCCGTGCTAACCTGTACGAGCTCCATCAGCCTGCTAGACCTGTAGGACGGAAGCAAGCGACGCACAAATACAGACACGAGACGGACACACCTACGGACGGTCAGGTGAGGTCCGATTGGGTCAGGACAGGTGTGGCGGTCGGCACTGCCACCACCTGAACCAGTAGTTAGTTCCGTGGTGTCAGAGCAGTGTCGGGCCAGCCTCATGTCAGCTATACCACAGCAGTGATGTCCGCCCCGCCGCTGTCACTCACCTGTGCCACTTTGATTATCTCAAAACTGCTGGTCGTCGATTTTGATGCGCTTCCGACCGGTGTCGACCTTGTCCTGCGGCTCGGCGGGCATCACTTTGAGGCGCGCGCCGCACAGCTCCTGGCCGTGCAGGGTCTGTGGGGAGCCGGGTACATGGGGGCAGGTCAGGGTGAGCGGCATAGGCACTTACCAGGTCATCACAGACACGGTGCCTTCTTCTGAGTCAGACAAGTAAGCCACGAAGATAGTGGAACGTGTCAGCATGAAGGGGCACGGCACAGTTGCTAGAAGTTCCACTATAACGGTCCTATTGTTATGTCTGCTCCCTGTATATCCCACCATTCCCACCCACATACGCTTCTCCGCCGAGTAGAAAACACAATCGCATCAGTCTTCATCAGAACACATTTCCAACACGGCACGAGAGCTATCCTAGACGGTCGTGGCCAACAAAGTATCAGCTGTTTCAAAATATTTTTCCGACAGACGAACCAAGCAGTCCCATGACACGTCGACTGCCAACTGTCGAATACTCATCGCCTAAAAGGGATTCACTAGCACCCACAAACACATCTCTACCCAGTTCTACGGCAGCCGACCCGCGTGTGCCCCCGCCCTCATTCCCACCATTCCGCGGAGACTCGCCTGGATGGCCTTCTCGGCCGACTCTTTGCAGGCGTACTTGGCGTAGCCGCACGTCTTCCCGCTCAGGATGTAGATGTCGATGAGGTTGCCGAAGCGGCCGAAGACGTCTTTGAGGGTGTACGGCGGCGGCGGCGCCGGATGGCACACGATGAACAGCCTGGCCGGACAGCGGTGAGTCAATGTGGGCGTCTGATCACCCGGCAGGGAGGCTGAACACCGGCGGCTCAACACGAGCGAGCTCAACATCGAAACAGGCATCACTAGTTTGCATAGTTCGAAATAGTTTTTATATAGTTTATAAATAGTTTAGTACTTCGACACCGTTGGTCACAGTATTTAAATCGAACACCCCCATTCAACTGGCGGGACAAAAGAACCACCCTATCGAGATTAAACATGAGTATCGAGTCAACGCGGTGGCGTTTCTCCCATAATGATCCTGGAACTGGTACGTATGCATGGGCCGGTCGGGAGAGCTGGCACGTGCTCCATAAACTTGGTATGCCAGAGAAACTCGGCAGAGGGCGGAGAGTCTAGAGGTGCTCAAATGAACGACTGAGTTGAAACGAACCTATGTGTGCGTGTTATGAAGCACGCATCGATATCGATTCGCAAACAGTCGGTTCTAGGAAGTAATAATGCGAAACTACTATGCATTTCAGACCCCATGAGACCCTGTTTTTCGGCGATAATTTCTTCAGTTTTTGTCTAATTGGCTTGAAATTTTGACATTAGACATTTCAGCTCAAGCGCCAATTTTCATCAATATGGTCTCCTAACAAAATATCAATATTTAAAGCACTTGTCGTAGGCCCGTAATGCTAATAAGATTTTGCACCCGGATAGAGGCTCGTTCGCTACCGCAGCGGATTGGATGGGAGCGCTGGCCAATCGCGTTGCGCCGGGCCCAACTAAACTCCGCCCACTGGCCGTGACCGCGCTGGGTCTATGCCGGCTCAGTCGGGGGCAGGACCGCGGAGAGGTCGCACGGGGGCCGCGCACTGGAAACATACATAGGTACATGGAATCGACAGGAAGTGTCTTGAGCGAAAGCTTGCTCTTCATTTGAGGGAGTTGGTAACCGCTTCTCCCTTCTTTAGTATACCAACACCGATCCAGCTCAGAATATGAAGAATACTCATAATGAGGATATTAACCTCCCCAGAACCAACTTTAAATAGAGAGCTGGCTGAGTCATGCACTATCTGAATATATGAATGAATGCACATTCTGGCGCCTATCTCATGGTCAGGTCGTGCCACTATTCTGTCACCTATGACATCATGCGAAGTCTCTGCACCACTCGAAAATATCGATATGATTGGCTGCGTCAATCGCTGTTTCTGAAGACGCTGTTATATCTATGCAGAAAACAACAGAGTGGGATGATGAGTCGCGAGCACTTCCGATTGCGTAATTCGGGCAATCGTTATGTTCGTAATTCGGGAAGCAGAAATGTGATGTGCGATTTACTGCGCATGGTAGAAATGTGACATCAAAATAGGGGAAACAGGCGCATAGGCTAGTAAAGAAATCGCGTCTTTTTGTGAAACTTAAGTCATTTTTCAAGCTCTCCAATAGTGAGGCAGTAGGTTACTTACTTACAGGTGTTTTAATTATTTGCAGTTCAACACGAAAGCCTGGGGTCAAGTCAGTCCGGTGATCTCAATCTAGCCAATTATAAAATGGGTTAGTTGTGAAGGTGTTCATGTTGCACCGCAATCACATGAATCCATCTCAATCATACGCATAAGCATAATATATTTCATATGGCAACCACACTTCTTAAATACTACGGTGTAACTGTTTACCATGTCTTGCAAATTTGACGTAGGCTGACCGACGTCTTGCATCAGTTCACAGTCAATTGACATCCACGATTTTTTTTTTTTAAATGACGTTCAATCAAGAAAAATGCAGTCACTAGCCCTGAACTTTATTAAAGTAGGTATATCTTTATTGATTGACATGGTGTAAGTTAATTTGCGATAAATGCAATAACGAAGGCTAGTGCGCTAAGTACGAGCGCTAGTTTCTGCTGTATCGTTATTACTGCAACGGCAACCGCAATGCAGCCATGTCCAATGCGAGCCGCCCCGGTCCGGCATACGGCCTTGGGTCCGGCAGGCGGCAGCTACCGCCCCGTCGGCTCCACGCATCCGACTGACCGGCCAAGGTCACCGCTCCGTCCGCCGGGAGGGCGGAGCTTAATGGTCACGTGCCTGTGACGTCACGCCTACGTACGGATAGCCTCTACTCCACTGACGGATTTACGGAGCCGATTTTAACATTACGAGGCAACGACAAGTACCCTAATAATTGATATTTTGTTGAGAGACCATATTAGCGAAAATTGGCGCTTGAGCTGAAATGTGCATTGTGAAAATTTGAAGCAAATTGGACAAATATTAAATAAATTATCGCCAAAAAACAGGGTCTCATGGGGTCTGAAATGCATAGTAGTGCATTTTACATGAAAAATACGCTTGGCAAATCGCTCAAGCGTGTGAGTCGCAGTACTAGAGGTTGCTCTAAACGCGGTCGATGTTTTGAGTGAGTTTGCTGTTTTTAAGCCGCCGTTTTCTGAATCGCTGTTTAAGATGTCAGTCACGTAATTATTCCTCAATTTGACCAAAAGTTGACATTCCTTCCTATCACCTAGCCGGTTCGGTTTTTGGTAGTGTCTCCGTGCTTCAGGTTGTGGGTTTAGTTCCGCGCACTCACCGTTCGGCAACTGTCGAGTCGAGCGCGGCCAGCGGCTGTGGCGCCGGCAGCCGCGCCGAGCAGTAGGTCGGGTCGTAGTGTTCGGGCATCACCACTCCGCCGGGTACGGCCGGCCCGGGTCCGGCCGGCGGGCCGCCGCCGCCGTCAGCGCCACCGCCACCGCCACCGCCGCTCGCTGCCGGGACAGAAACACAGTCAGCGGGACCGCACGGGACGCTGTGAGATCGGTCATCAAAACGTAATAACGCCACACAAGCACTGTCACATGAAGACATGGTCCAGTGCATCTGTGTTTATTTGACCTGCATTGATGTGATTGAGACAAAGCACCAAATATACTGCCCATAAATTATGATATCATGCTATCCTTGCAAGTCTTGCAATATGGGCACAGTTTGAGCTCTCCATCGCATGAGAATGCATTAGTCACATGCAAAATGTTTAACATTCAATTGACTGCCTCTGGTAAAATGACTGAAATGGCAGTGTTCGGCGTTCGCGGCGGCGAGGAGCGGCGTCCACTGACCGGCGTGCGGGTTGATGCCGGCCGCCTGTATGAGCGAGGTGGCCTGCGCGATGGTCTCGGCCAGGTGCGCCAGGTCTGTCTGCAGACTGCCGGACGGCCTCGGCCCGGCGCCGCCCGGCGACATGGCCGCCGCCGCGCCGTTACCCACGCCGCCCGGCGCCGGCGGCGGCATCATCGGCATCCGCGGCATCATGTTGGGCGGCGGCGGCATCAGCGAGTGGGGACCCATCCTGACGAACAGCACCGGACACGTGAGAACAGCCGAAAATGGGGAAAACGATCGACAGGCTTATGCAAAAGAATTAAGTATAGTAATAAATACACGCGCAACAATAAGTAAAAGCATGTCATGTGGACATACCTCCCCCAGGATTGATACCTGTTGCTCTCAGTAATGACGATCCGAAAAGCCGGACTCTTGTTAGCTCTGGCGTTGAACACACTAGACTCCAGACGAGGATGGTATAGGGTTGGCGGGAGCGACCGATGCTAATTGAGGTGAGTGGGATGTTCCGTGACTGAGCAAGCACGCACGAAACTTTGGCTTGAAAACTTTCCACGCTACCAGGAGGGTTGCATTTGGGTGGCGGAGCTCTAAGCTGGATCAATAAGCTCTGTTGAACGCTTAGTCTAGCTTCGTCAATACATGACTTAATAGCATTTGAACTGAGATAAGAAAAACACGATTATCATAAAATGCTTGAAGGTGTCAAGTTTTATGTCGCACTAGCACAATCAATATTCAAAAATCAAATCAACCAATACACACGAATAAACCAGAAAAATATTTTCGTGTGTACTGGTTCTCGTCTCCATTCTTGGCGTCCCATTTTGTAGGTAAGAAGCATCATGATCGTTGACACATCATGTCCAAAAACTGGAGTGGCAAGAGGAGGGACCAGTTGCCGCCAGGACTCACATCATATCGTGTGACGGGTCGAACTTGACGATGAGCCGGTGGCCGGGCGGGTACTCGAAGCCGTGCAGCTTCTCCTTGGCGTACGCCGCTGACTGGATATTGCTGAACTGGACGGACGCGATACCCTGCGGCGGCCAATGGGTCAGTCGACAGGCAGAAAAGGGCCAAGGGTCCTAAGTCACAACAGCCTGTCACACAGCAGCAGTGTTATGGAGTAGCATCTAGTTAGTAGTTACATTACCATTCCGGTACAACGCAGCTGAAACAGCACTCGACGGCCCAAATGAATATGAGACGGTGCACGACCACCAAACGCTGAACCAGGCTTTCATCACAGATAATTGTACAGGTGGCGCTGTGTCGACAAAACGGCTAGGCAGCTTATGATGCTCTTTGTACTTGCATCAGGCAGCTCAGTCGCTTTAGAGTTCCTGTTTAAAATCCAGAGTAATCACTTGTTTTACACGTGATTGACGACATTATTCAGTTATGTTGCGACGGGCGGTCGTCTCATGACCCTCTCTGACTCCCCAAGCCTGTATCGATGGTCGGGTCGGACTGACCTGTCCCGATTTCCTGTCTCGTCGCAGGTCGATGAAGTCCAGGCCGGGCACCAGGTCGAACAGCTTCCACAGCTGGTCCTGGTTGAGCGTGGGCGACGCCACCACCGCCAGCCGGGTGCACGCCTCGGCCGGCGGCGCGCCCTCCATCGGCGGCAGCGAGCCCATCTTGCCGGACGGAGGAGCTGCGGACAGGCCGCCGACCGGTCAGGCCAGCATGGGAGCGCGGGCGGTAGGCACACACCAAGGCCAGTCAAGCAAGGGCCAGTGGTGACTGATCTCAGTGATGCCGCGGGACAGCACGCGAACAATGACACTCAACAGCAAACAAAGCAGACCACTGTCTGGTACAAGTTATCAACAGTCCGTTGATAGCCATACTGGTCCATGTGATTTGTCATGCAGCGACATGATTGTTTCAGTGTGAGATATGGCTTGTAATAAAAGTAGCCCCGGCTAAACACCGACTTGCACAACTGCAATGTCGTACCGTTAAAATACTGGCTGACTGCCTTCTTTTTGTGATATCTCGTTTCGAAACAAACTGTATGGCTCATACTAGCTGCAAAGCCATGCCATTTAAGTGCTGACTGACTGCCTTGTACCGAGTGAAACCCCGTTCAAATACTGACTGACTGCCTTGTAACCAGTAAAACCCATTTAAATACCTGTGTGCGGTACTTACTGTATGCGGCCATGTCGAAGCCGGAGGAGGAGACGGAGCTGCCCGGACCAGAGAGCATCATGCCGTCGTTGCGCATGTCGCGCACCGGCTTCGGGTCGGCGAACATCGGCTTGAACGACCGGTCGCAGTTCTCGTACGCCTTGGCGGCGTGCGACATCCTGAGCGGGGGTACAGGTCGTTCAGGTGAGCGGGGCACAGAGCGGGGGAGAGCAGGGCCGAAGGAGGCCTAGTTGTTACACGCGTCGCGTTCGTCAGATAAATAAATGGGACTTCTAAGATCACTCAAATTAACTCAACAAAATTAAATCCCTAGAAAAATCTGTTGGACTCCCTTCATCAGTATTGAAGGCAGTTATAGCAGTAATTCCTAAACGCAAGAGGTGAGTGGCCACATTTTTTTTACACCATAGAGCAATCTTTCACCATTGAGGTGTCACCATTATTCAGCAGTCATCATCGTATTACCAGAAGAGGAAATGTCATCTTGCTACCAACTACAACCTACAATCCTATCACGGACGACTTACCTGTGATACTTGACATATCCAAATCCTTTGCTTTCTTTGGTTGTGCGATCTTTGACGATGGAGACGTAGTCGATGTCTCCGAAGGTAATGAAGTGTTCGCGTAGCTCGGACTCGGTCATGGCGCGCGGGACCACGACGAACAGACGCAGCAGCCGCTCCTCCTCATTCTGCTCCCGCCGCGAGCCCTGCTCCCGACTGTAACGCCACGCAGACACACAGTCACTCAGCTGTCCATTACGGTGTGGTCTTGGGTCCTTCCCAGATCAAAACATCCATAGTGACAGCCATATTTAGATGTACCTGCTCCTCCAATGTGTCCCAAACTGAGCCCCGTTATTCAGGACGCGTCCTGTCGTTTGCCATACCTGTGAGCGATGAGGACCTTCAGTGGCCGCGGGTGACTCCCGATACACCTCCCGTTCATTTCCTCCATGGCAAGAGCGGCTTCTGATGTCTTGTTAAACTTGATATATGTGACTCCTGTGACGAAAACAATTCATTCAATGTGTTAAATGATATATGACTGCCTCAAATCTTTTTAGCAGACTTATCACAACTGTCATTGGTGAAATTACAAAAGCATCTTTTGAAAATATCGGCAGCTTGCAGCACATTGCCAAATATTATGAAAAGCATGCACATTGCACTGTGATCTATGCTGCCTAGATTTCTATACTTGACATAGAAATAGCAAAACCCTTTGAATGCAGATTTTCATGGTGATCACATCTTCAGCCACTAGACAATAAATTTTCACATTAGTGTCAAGTGTGTGTGTACACTGTACACACATGAGCAATAATACTCATGCAATTAGCTAATTTCATACTAAGGTAACCTTAAAAACAACACACTGGTTTTGCTGGCAAACTGGTTCAATACAGCCCATGCTGATGAGGACAGGAGAATTAAATGCACAAATACAACCTATTGACATAGACAATGCTATACATTGCTGCATAAGTTGCAGTACATTGTTTTAGAAAATTATACATAGCCAGATTCTAATGATTGACATTTGGGCCCATCTGCAGCTATCAAAGGCTGTAGGTATCAGGGTCTTGATCCATTAAGAAGCATGCATCAGTGTTTCATTTTTCAGCCTTTTTGGTGGCAAATCACACCTAATGGGGAAAATATTTTCATCCCTAAAATATGAATGACCAACTTTACTTCATCTCTGAAAAGAGTTTCATGTATTCCTAACAGCCAGAACACTTGTCACCAGGGGCGCGGGAACTACTTTCCGACTGGGGGGGCACACCATAATAGAGATTAACCTAGGGTACCCCCAAATCTAGTTTTCTCACCGGTTTTAGGCCACTTATTTTTCACCCCTCGGCTTTTTCAACAAAAAAGAAAACATTTGCAAACAAAGTGTGGTATTCCGTCTCAAAGCTGTGGGGGCACCGCCCCCACGGCCCCAGAGTTGGGGGGGCAAGCTGCCCCCACTGCCCCCCCGGCTCCCGCGCCTATGCTTGTCACTTGACAGTTGATGCACCCACATCCTTTTGTTCCACACCCTGTCAAGATCCTGACATGAAATCCTGGTTTATCAGTTAGCATAAAAATTGGCATTACACCATTTTGCAAAAATACTGCAGTTATTTACTTTCTTTTTTTTCATCCTAGGATTTTTTTCTTCATCGGCACACCCAACCAATATCCAATTTTAGAACACTGGCATGCATGCTTTCCTTCCCTAGTGCCTCCTCTATCTATAATGGCTTCCTTGTTTTGAAATTAGTTTATTGCCTAATTAACATGCATCATTACTCTCCACAGGTACCCCAGCCTCCCCAGCAATGGACTTAAAGGAAAGAGGGAAGATTGAATATTAAAATCATTCCCTCCTAAATTCATGTTGATAGCATGATTGTCATGCCAACTACTATGCATTGATTTGGTGATACATCTCTAAGCTCTGCCATCATCTGAACTACTCTGATACTCTTGATACTCTGATACATAGATACTCTGATTTGGTGATACATCTCTAAAGATCTGTCATCATCTGAATACACAGCTATCATGATCAGATCCTGCCTGAGCCCAGCCTCACTGTTGTGTTTACTAGAAACCCCCTAGGTACTGACCAAAGGATGGTGAAGAGGATGATGAAGGAAGCATTGTTCAGACAAGACATTATTACAATCAGCTTTTGAAGCATTATTTTCTTAAAATCCAGAAACATATATTATAATCTACCATTCAGAAACAACAGTGTTCCCTGAGTATTTAAAATCTCTTCATATCATTATACAATATCCTGTATCCAGCTGAACCACCTGAACGCTGATAAAAACTCCAATATCATAGCAAATACCCATCACATGTGGTTCTAAGAGATTTATATCAATGTGTCAAAATTACTTATATGACAAATCTTAATAACAATTGATGGAATTAGTGTCAGTAACAGACACTCAAAGTGATCCACATCTTCACAATGTATACTTTTTGAACCTTCCACTTAAGTGGGTGACCTGATCACAGCCCTGTAATGTGACAAAGCATAGGACCAAGCTCACTTGTTTCAAATCATGCATTTTATATTTATAGATCAGTTATCCAGTATTTGTTCAGAAAAGGACTTATCTACATTTATGGTGCTGTTGATATGAAAATGCAACAACAGAAATTGTAGGTTGGTAGGCTGTAGGTAAGTAGGTAAGGTTAATTCAGGTTCAATGTTTTTTCTAGTATTTGTGCCACATTTACCTATATATCATATCTGGATTCAGGATGTCAAATTTGAATTACATAAAAACAACAGTTATGCTTTAAAAGTTAATTTGACTTTTTCTGAACATGTACCAGTATTTCTACATTTCCCGGAAAACAAAATACAGGAAATAGCTTCTCACCTTTGGGCTCTCCAGTCGCCCGGTCTTTGACGACCCATACTTCTGAGACAGTGCCATATTTTGAGAATGCCTCCCGGAAATCATCTTCTGTGATAGATTTTCCACAAACAATAAATAATCTTGAATTAGGTGGATCACTGTACTTTGCTTCCTTGTGGTATCTTGGATCCATGCCAGAGTAGTCTCTCATATCACCATTTGTACGCCTCGACCCTCCACTCCTATAACTTCCGGTGCTGCTCGAATCTCCCCGCGAGTCAGCCATACTCAATTAAAATATATAAACACTTCCACGGTCTAAACTACCGATTACAATAAATGCCACTTGATCAGTTCTCAAATAATTTCTAATACATACATATTTAGTCGCAATATCACCGACAGCAACCCCACCACATCATCTCCCCACAATCGCCACAAGCGGAGGAAGCGGAGTGTTGTGTACTCCTTTGCCCACATCTATGGCCGATACCTTGCAAGTACCAAGTACCTATCATGGAATCAATTCGATTTATTCGTTGATTTGATTTGTAAGAATTGTTTTTAGTTACAGAAATATTTGTTTAGCTGAAAACATTACTTCAATTATCGCTATCATAAGCGAAAACTTGCATTCATATCCATAAACTTTCTTACGATGATACTTGAGGCAAGGTGCAATTTTTTACATCTCTAAGGAAAGCCTGTTACGTTTTCGGCGCAGTGCGACGTAAGTGAATTCTTCGTCCGTTCCGTCTTGGTTCCGTCGGTTCCGTCCGGTCCGTTCGTCGTTTTTGTTTGTGAATTTGTTGATCTTGTTGGCGGACATGTGCATGGTTCCAACATAGGTATCTTGGTTCCAACCAGTTCTATAGCCTTGGTTCCGACTTCCGAGCAAGGATCCGAGGAAATGGATATGGGATCTGATCCCACGGATCATGATCTTGGATCCGTCAGCATTATAAATCCAGTCCTTTAATTTTTCGAGAGATCCGTAGGGATTATAGATCCGAGTCAATTGTTTCACTGATTTTCTTTTTGTCAACACAAATCCCGAAGGCCCCAAAGGCCAAAATTACTTACTGTAACTCAAAAGTTCTGTTTTAGTGATTTCATGTGATTGCACATCATAATCCATAGTTCAAGTTATGTGGCACTTATTGACATAGAAACACTTGGAAACATGGTTTCAAATGTTATGCATGGTGGTATCCACTCATGGATCGATGATCTTGTTTTATCATAAGATCCTATGAAATCATAGATCCAGATTCAACTTTTCGTGCCAGATCCAGCGGGATCATAGATTCTAACCTGCAGTTTGCTTCAAGATCCACTGAGATCATAGATCCAGTGGATCTTGATCTCATAGATCCAGCAATCTTGATCTCATAGATCCAGATTGCCTGTCCCGTAGCTCAGTTGGTAGAGCATTGTCTATGTATTTTGCTGACTTCGAATCACAATGAGCACAATGTACAATTCAAATAGTAGGTATCCACTTGTCCCCTCCTATCTACTAATGTCCTTATTCTCCACACTTGTTCTCCGCGGTCCCTTGCAATGCCTTCTCGCTCTTTTTCCCTGCTTCCGTTTTCCCTTGCATCTCATCAGGTCAGCAATTCTATCTCGTGAAGTAATTCATGTGCAGCACTCTTACGCAGTTAACTAAATGAATGAATGAATGAATGGGCACCTCTGCCAAATAAACTAAAGTGAAACAATGATCCATCAATGGTACGATTGCACTTAATGGTAAGTGATAAATGTTCTAACCTCCCACATTCCCCTTGATCTCCAATCACTTACACTTTACGATAGTCTGTCACTCTATCGACCCATTCAATGGCATAAACTACATGTACCCCGCCGAGCCTTCACACGACAGCCTCTCCCTAGTGGCTCAGACTCTGCTGTCTCCTGGTCGTCTCCAGCATTGTGGGCATCTTCAACGCCTTCTGCCGTCTGAGACATGTCACACTGAAGTTGGGCAGAACTATTGGCGTCACCCATCTGCTTGCGACCTTCCACCACCGTCAAAGCCGGGATTTGGATCAGCCACCGGTCACTGTCGTCTTCAGCCGATCCTTCTCTCTCGTCTACAGACTCCTTGCTGTCTTGGCTCGGTGCTGCGCGCAGGTCGCTCACGTGGCGAGGCACGCCGTCGACTTCCACGGTCTGCTCGGATACGACTTTGGTGACCGAACCGACCGAGCTCGGGACGTCACATCTTCGGCTGGGGTCGCGCACCCACACCGAGTCTTCAACGATGAATCGGCATGCTACCACGCCAGGATCAGATGCATTTACGTCGACACCTCGGACTTTTACTTCGTAACTATATACTTGATTTGCCGGTGCAGATTCAGCGTTCGTGTCATCCTTGGGCGTTACGTTATACCAGTAGAGTGCTTCCTGCACTGATCAGTCTGATCGGGCAACGATGCGCTTCACTGTGCGATGGCACCTCTCCACTAGGTATGCCGTTTCCAGAAGGTCGATAGGCGCTTCGAAATCGCATAATTACGCCCCACCTTTCACTGAACTCAGAAAAGGCGCGACTACGAAACGCCCTGGCGTTATCGGTCAGACTTTCTTGCGGTGCACCACGCTCACCAGCTGCTCCAGCTGTTCGATCACAGTAGTACTGTCCTGCCTAGTTATCTTGCGCCACACGCGAACCGAGAAGGCCCGTTATCCACCACTGTCAGATAGTGATGTGTATTCACATGTGTGATATCCATGCTCAGTCGCGCCCACGTTCTGGGAACGCTGAGGTCGCCTTTGGTCAACCGGACAGAAGCTGGATCCACAGACAAACACTGCTGACACCGATGGGCGACTGCAAGTACCTGGCTCTTGGTGATTGTTGATCTGGACTTCTTACAAAAATAGAACGTGCGCCGCACACCAGAGTGCCCAGTCGACTCATGGATCCGCCGTAATGTATTTCGTCTTCGTCGTCACCATACGCCGCCGGAGCGGCTGGAGAGCGACGAACTGTAGAGCGACGCACAGAGTGCGTCGCTCTCCAGTTCTACCGTCGGCGTCGTCCTCATCGCTAACCTCGACGCTGACTGCGCACTCACCCACTGTCGGTGCGAGCCACCGCTGCGGCACTCTGGTCAGGGAGTCAGCTTTGTTTTCTCTCGAGTTGACAAAGCACACGCTCACATCAAGATGATATTCGTCCACCGTGTTTTCGATTGTCTCCAGCCGACGTCGGATCAGCATCTCCTCTGCCGCTTTTGTCTTCACTCTTGCTTTCCCACAGAGTGCGTCGCTCAGCCAATGGTGAGCGGTGCGCGAGTCTGTCATGAGGCGTGTCGTTTTGACCTTCCACGGAATCATGAGGTTGAGGCCTTTCAACGCTGCGTCTAGCTCAGCCATGTTTATATGACCGCATTCGTCCCGACGCAGCCAGGTCGAGTCTTCGACTGTTTCTCCGTCAATTTCTACCACTACACCGAGTGCCAGTGAGCTCGCGTCTACCCATACTGCCACGTCTTCTCCTGTCACATCCCATCTGCCACGAGCCGGATCAGCTGCCTCTACTCTGCGCATGACGTCATCTAACATCTGCAGCACTCGAGTCGGTCACCTTGTCATCCCACGATTTTGTCGTTTTGTTCGCCACTCTTTTGATGAAAGAAGCAGCTGGGTCAGCCAACCGCAGACAGGGAGGTGACCGACAAGTCGGCCACACAGCGAGAACAGCTCCCGTTTTCTCAGTGACCTTGGGACAGGGCCGAAGTTGTTGTCTCTTCTCCAGACCAAGTGGTGATCCTCCTTCTCCACCCTGAGTCCAAGGACGCGAGTTCCGTCTAAGAGCCGTTCCGGGGGCTTACAGTCTAGGCCATGCTTCTTGAGGTGTGCTGCGACACGCTCCGCAGGCACAACCCTCTTATCGACGAAAATGTCGTCGATGTACGCCGAAGTAGCCCGCTTCATATCTGGGTCCCAGCTCAGGACGGTAGCCAGCACTCTTTTCAGCACCAGAGGCGCGACGTTCAAGCCAAATCCAAGACGCGTAAGACTGTGGCGTTTGCCGTGGAATACGACCGTTTGATAAGGCCACAGTGACTCGTCCACATGAATCTGTAAGTAAGCTTTCCGAAGATCAATTAGAGCCCCAGCAGTGCCTCTTTTTCTCCACTCGCGCAGCCTCTCGGCACCCACATCTGCGTCAGCGGTATGAGCGTCAACATACGAACTCAGCTGACGAAAGTCGAGCACGGGTCTGACCTTTTCCTTGTTCTGATTCAGCACTGCCATGAGTGGAATGGTCCCCTTCAGTGGTCCCAGCTTCATTTCATCGTATGGCTCCAGCCAGCCATTCTCCACCAATTCTTTCAGCTCCTGTTCGTACTCCTCGCGGCACTCCGGTGATATCTTGTGCTCAGCAATACTGCGTCTCATCGGTTCGGGCTCTACGCCGTCCGCCCACTTCCAACGCACAGTCCACTTATTTTCTTTTTCATCATAGAAGGCAATAGTCCACTTCATCCACACCCGCTGCCATCTGTCTATCCTCACTTTGCAGCTTAGCCTCAACTTCGCTCTCCTCATTCTGCAGCTTAGTATCCATTTTGCTCTCACTCTGCAGCTTAGCCTCTAGTCCGGTCTCCCCACTCTGCAGCTTATCCTCCATTTTGCTCACTTCTGGTTTCGTTTCCTCGGCGGCAGCACACGCAACCTCATATCCAAACTGAACTTGCCTCGCACTCGCCAGCGTGACTCCTCCCAATGCCTCAATGCCGTCCATACCAAGCACCAGGTCGAATCCCAACGGCCTCTCACTCACCACCGAAGCATCAATTTCAACAGCGCCGCCTTTCTCAAAACCAACTTGAATTGGCCCGGTTCCATCACACGGGTATCTTTCGCCGCTTACAGTCCTCACACTGATTATTCTCTCGTTCCAGGTGTGACAAAATGACGCTTGAACGATACTACGAGAGCATCCGCTGTCGATCAACGCCAAGCCACTGACTCCTTTGATATCTATTTTTCTTGTAGGCAGGGCGTCGGGTCTCAGAGCCGAGAGGAGGCTGGCGCTGACGTCTCCTCTCCCTGGCGGTTTTCCGGGCACTGTGCCATCACGTGTCCTGTCTTCTGACATTTGAAGCACACTTCTTCTTGCACACTTCTGCGCGCGTATGCTGGCATACGCGCGCAAAATGCCCCACTTCTCCGCACTTGTAGCACCTCAGCGGCCCTTGGCTGTCCCGTTGACGCCGCCGTTGGTCACTGGTGTTTCTCAGCATTCGACAGGATGTAGCCGCTGGTGCAACGGTACCACAATCGTCTGCCAGCATCGCCCGCGCACGATTGAGAACCTCGTTCAGTGTTAACGACTCAACGCGCGTCCTCGCTCTGAGAGTTTGACGGACGGAGTACGGCAAACCGGACACAAAGGCGCAAGTCCGACCAGACCCGGGGATTCCTCCGAACAGCAGAGCCAGGCGCTTCAGCTCTGAGAGATATACGTCTACTGACTCACCATTTTTAAGTTTCCTGGAGTATCTCCATGGCCTCCTCCATAAGGCTCGAATGCCTCCATGGCCTCCGTATCTGATCATTCGACTGAACGGCATATGATCAGATAAACTGGTCATACGCCGAAAACTTGTCGGCCGCAAATGCGGTGAGCAACGCATCTTTTATCTTGCACGGATCTCTCTTCTCTTCCTCACTGAGCTGCTGATAAACGCTAAATGCGCCGCCAGCCAGTCGAAGTGGAATGATGTGTTCCAGTTCTGTTACTATAGAGCAAGGAGCAGGGAATAGTGTTCATGGTTTGAATGTTAACTATATCATTTTTTAGCCTAAAACAGGCTGCTTCAGCTTACTTTAAGACCATATTCGACCAGCCTACAACCATCCTACAACCAGATTCAAGAGAGCACCTCTAGCATTTTGTTAAGCCTTATGCTGTCACCAGCATGCATAGAAAAGCATCCTCAGTCCAGTCAACTCCATCAAAATATTGAACAGCCTGCCATCATTTGTCAAAGGTAGCCATAGGTACGCACTGACTAATTCAAACTAGCACTCATGAATCAGCTTGATGATAATTGGAGACACCTCTATTTCACCCCATCCCTAACATGTTCATATGATCAGTAATAATTTAATCACAAACTCGACTTGAGTGGATATTACCGACCCTGGCCGCTGGCCACCATTCCAATGACTAATGTCATCATTTTTTCAGACGTTGTTGAATTCAGAAGCATGCTAGTTTTATAAGGGCATGAAGAGCCTTATCAGCGTTTTGAAAAGAAAGCAGTGCTCAGTTAGAAGCAGACAGTTTCCAAAATGTCAGGCAGTAATATGCACAGCCCAAAGGATATCCAGGTACCTACACTGATTCACGTGCGACTAGGCTTTACTGGTGTCTGCAATAGCCACCCATGTTGGGCTAGTCGCTTCCATAACTCAATTGGTAATCAGACTCCTGTGATTGAGAAAACCCTCCATGTGTGGCGCTTGATTCAGCCTGATGAGGTCATTGAGTGGGCCAAAAAGTGCCCAACTTTCTTGGGTACCTACATTCAATATTGACATCCAAACTGCATTTATGGAATTGCTTGATTGGATGTGTGGTGTTGGGTCTGCACAACAGGTTGGCTTTCTTAGTCCAGCTTTCTGAATTAGATATTTTGAACGTTTAAGTGATGCATAAAAGGCTTAGTTTCAATGTTTTGCTGACCTCTTTTAGTAGGTACCCACTTCATCTACTTGACAAATCATATTTGACCTTGTCTGTCCTGCCTACACAGGTCCAAATTATGAGAGAGGACTGCAGCGGAGAATTGTCTCCGCCAAGGTCTACGCTGGTTCGAATGACTGTGGAAGTTGATCTTGATGTTCGTCTACCATTGCCCAGAGGCGGTAAATACCAATACACGGTCAGTGAGCCGGTCCAAGTAACGAGGCTGCATCTCCCTTTTCTAATTTCCCTGAAACAATTAGTTGGTATCTCTTCGGGTATTTTTTTTTCGGGAACCTGACGTACTGTGGCTATGTTATCACGAGCGTCTTTGTGCTACTATTTATCACTATTAAGTATTTACTAGTACCAGTAGTTACTATATCATATTGTGCTATTACTATAAATTAATTACTAATGATTGTTGTACTTAGTGTTTAAAACTCCATAGGGCCGAGAATTTGTCTAAGTCGACATTGATTTGATAACGTCTAATTTTATGTTGACCATCGCCCCTCCCTTCTCCCCTCCCCCCCCCCCATCCAGGTAATAGAGGAAGATGAGCACCCCGCCCCACTCTGGTTTCCTGATAAGGATTCTAAGAAGGTCGTATCCAAGAAGGAGTGCAGACGTCACTACATTGAGTTCCTCAAATATGGCGACTCGGGCACCAAAACGTGGATCTGTGGAGTTTGTGAGTTAGCCGCGATTCGAAGCATGCAAGTGAAACATATAAATGCAATTCTAAGTATGTTATGCAATATTTATTTTTAATAATTATTGCATGCAAATGAATGAATCCAAATGGTATATGCTTGTGACGACATAAACGTTGTTTCGTAGCATATTCGTGCATACTGCAAACAATGGCTGAATTTTGCGCACTCCTTCTCAGGTGGGCAGCGGAATTCGCAACAGTTCTCCCTGATGCGACACCTGATGATGGACCACCTGGGCATGAGGGTGTACAAGTGTCAGCACTGCCCGAAGACCTTCAAAACTGTGAGCAGAGTAGTGAACCGTTTGAGTACCGAATTCCCCCACTACTTGTAATAATGCTTATGTTAAAGAGTCAAATTATATTAGTTCAGCCAGTGCGGTCTCTCGCCTGCTGACGGTGACCCCGGATAATGACGCTCTCTCTCCGGCGCGTGCCGCCCGCAGGCGGCGGTGCTGGCGCAGCACAGGAAGTCGGCCCACTCGGCGACCAAGGCGTACGTGTGTGACGTGTGTGAGAAGCAGTTCGGCCGGGTCTCCGTGCTGATCCAGCACCGCCGCATCCACTCGGACGTCAAGGAGCATACCTGCCACTGCGGCAAGGCCTTCCACCAGAAAGGTACGGCACAACTGAGCCGGAACGCGCTGCAGCTCATGAATACCTTCGGAAATTATAACGTGACGTGTTGTAAAGCGGACCCGGTTGTTGTCCTATTGCCTTATGCATGTTACCAACTGATGCCTGTTGATGGATCCAAATCTTCACTGTTTCCGACCCGTCTCAGTAGTGAATTTAACTGTCCCGTCCGTCGGTGATGACCTTGTCCCGTCTATCAACAGTGACCCCGTCCCGTCTATCAGCATTCACCGTCCTCTCTCGACAAGGAATTGACCCCGTGCCGTCTGTCGACACTGACCCTGCCTCGTCTTTCAGCAGCGAGCCCGTTTCTCCTGTTGGCAGTGAACTGACTGTACCGTCTTCCAGCACTGACCCCGTTACGTCCGTAGTCATTGATCCCGATCCTCTCCTGCTATCGGCAGTGAACCCGACCCGTTCCTTCAATCGGCAGTGAACTGACCTCGTGCCATCTATCGGCAGTGAACCTCACCATGCACCAGCTGCGGCTACACCCGCCGGCCGCCTTGCGTACGCCCAAGCCAGTCCACTGTCCGCCCAAGCCGGCCAGCCGTCCGCCCAAGCCGGCCAACTGTCCGTCCAAGCCGGCCAGCCGTCCGTCCAAGCCGGCCAACGGTCCGCCCAAGCCGGCCAACCGTCCACCCAAGCCGGTCCGCGGCGGTTCGCAGCGGACTCTACAGTACAGCTGTGTGGTGTGCTCGGCGCAGTTCGAGTCTGTACCCGAGCTTCTCCAGCACAAACTCACGGTAAGACAATCATCTGGCGGATTGGCAGTGGTGTCGATAAGTGGCTGGAACAAACATAGGTACTGGTGATGTCGTTCTTATCTAATTGCGGCCACCCGCCACAACATTGTTGTTCACTACACGATTCCTGTGAGACGACAGTGTTATCTGTGTGTTCGACAGCAGTAATAGCTCGCAGTCTCTGTCATGTCTGGGTGGGTCGCCGTGTAAGTTTGTAACGACCCCGTCCACCGCAGTGCCAACCGCTGCTGCAGTCACTGCGCACTACAGTTAAGGTGAATCGAGATACGGAGCAGAGGATCGGCGCCGGGAAGGAGCGCAACATGTGAGTTTGACTGGGATGTGATATTATATAGCTGTTCTGGGGGAGAGAATCTGGATCGTGGGACACCGGTTTGACTGTCTATAAACTGAACCCTCGCCAGGATTACTCACGATTTATTTAGAAAACTTTAATTCGTTATATGCGGGCCAGATTTGTCGAGGAAGCGTTAACTTCATCGGACGTGAAAACGGTGATGTCTGACTGACTGATCAAGGTCCCCAATTATAAGGTGCAATCACTTTGTTCATGTTGCCTCTTTGCACCCATGTAATCACTTTGTGGCTGCTCCCGCCAACCGTAAAGGCCGCCGTCCACTGTGACGGAATTCCGTCCGGAGTCCGTCAGGAATGTCGCCGCTCGCTGACCGCATCCGGACCGCAGACGGAAAGCGCACGGACACTGGCGAACACTTTGTGAAGAGCAGTTATCAGTTATTACAAAAGAAAATATAGCAATTTACTGGCTTAACATAGGCTGCGATGTCAAGAAAATTGTGTTTACTTACTTCATCTTGAAAGAGTTGAAATTCTTTCTTAAATTTGCGATTGAAAACTCGAAGACGGAAGGCGGTCCTTGTCCGCGTCCGTTCCGTCTGCGTTCTCCGCAGAACAGTTCAACATGTCGGACTTTGTTATTTCGTTTCCGTGGCAACCGCTTCCGAAACGCATGCGGAGAGCTGACGGAAAATCAACAGCTGATTGCCGTTCGGATGCGGTCCGCACGGAGCGCACACGATTTCCGTACGGACCGGATGCGCCCATAGGGCTCTGTGTTAAATTCCGTAAGGACCGCAAGCGTTCCGCATAGTGGACGGCGGCCTTAACTATCCCACTCAGGAATCTCATATCGACCGCCGGAGTGACTCGAACCCGGACTCTGACCGCCGGGAGTCCGTTGCTCTACAAACTGAGCTGCGGTTCGGACGTCAGATATAGTCTGTTGGATCCGGATTATGGTATTAGTCTTTCGACCCTCTCGGACCAGTTAGGGGCCCAATGACCGGTGTAACAGCTTAGGTCGGTGTAGGTTCTCCCAGGCCAGTATGGGGTCCTCTCAGACTAGCATGACACCCGAGAGGTGCTTTGACGCCGGCGAGGACCTTAGGCAGGAAGATGTCCTCTTAAACTCTGTTGGAAGCCAGATTTGGGGGGTAATTTGGGCCCCCGAAATGCGGGACTCGGTAAGCTGAACCAAGCGAGCTCTAGCACTGGCCTAAATCCCCCTCTCTCCCCCACGACCGGCAGGAACAACAAGCTGCTCAATAAGATTCAGGATATCGTGCACCAGCAGGAGCGGCTGCGTCGGCGTGAGACGGCGGCGCTGCCGCGGCTGGACCCGTGCCGACTCCGGCGGCTGTACGACCGGCCGGCGCCCAGCTCCTGTCCGCCGGCACAGCCGCGGCGCCCGGAGACTGCCCCCGAGACACAGCAGCAGACTGACGACACGCCGGCTGGGAAGGTACGGATAATGGCGGGCAGTCGAGGGGACGGTCGAACTGGGGAGGTAGTCCAACCACCACTTTCCCCAGCCAACAAAGGAAAAACAGTACTATCTCATCCACCAACTTTAAACTGTCTGTGTTTCGTTTGGGACCGAGATCATTTGAGCTGCCTCGCACAGAGGACACCACTGTAGCCGCCTGTGCCGTTGGGTTTCGTGTCACTAAGGGCCTCAGCATGAGTTAGTTTGGTGAAAAAGCCAATAAACGAAATGTCCCACCAAACAGTAGACATTCTGGCGCCTCCCCTTTTTCATCATCCCTGTAGATAATGGGTGTACTGACAGCTTTTACCCTTGCAGATGCCTCTACTCTTGCAAATAATGAGAACTGAGTACCTATTCTGACGCTCCCTTACTTACTCCCGTACTCCCTTCGGGCCTCGCAGATATTGGATACCATATTTAGGACCTATCCTATCCACCTATTGCTATCCTTACGGCTCCTCTCCTCCCCACATAATGGGTATTTTTACGGTTCTTCCTCCCTTTAGATAATGGGCGGCCTGACGACTCTCCTCTCCCCCTCCCTCCCTCCCTCAGATAATGGGCGTCCTGACGGCTCCGATCCGGACTCAGTCGATGCTGCTGGCCCGCCAGCGCGGCCTGCAGCCGTTCGTGGTGCTGCAGAGCGACACTGACGAGCCGACGCTGGCTAAGGTGCTTCCCGCTGCCAATAATCTGGAGGTGAGCAGCGAGAGATCGGTCAGGACGATCGACAGTGAAGGCGTGTTTTCATTAGCGATTGGGTCTGTGTTGAGCTGCTGATTGAGGGTAACGGTCGTTGTAAGACAGCAGACAGGCATATGCTACGATGTGACGTCATTTGAGTTGCGATAACGCTTTGTGGTTGTGACGTGATCTTGGTAGCCTAATTGTGTGCTGGTGAACTGGATCCCGCCCGATGACCTATTCGGAGTTCGTCTCCGATTTCTGGAATTGCTAGCACCTGCAGATGATGGGCCCTCCAATCGAACCAACCTGTGGTTTGTGTCCTTCCCAGCTGCTCCCGGTACTGACGACCGCACATACTCCTTCTGGCCACCTACACCTTGCTCTGACCACTCACAGCTGGCCACTGCCCCCTTACATCTGACCGGTGATCACTGAAATCTTGCCACCGTCCCCAGCAGTGCTGGCGCCTGCCACCATCGAGGACCTGTGTCTTGCCTGACCTCTTCCCTCTGACCCAGCTAAGTATTTACCTTAAGTATTTACCTTAAGTAAAGGTCATTAGGTACCCTTTCGAGTAATCAGACCCTTTACTCAAGAGATGCCTCCTCTTCTTCTGACGAAGACGAGTAGGCTGCCATGCTAGGTGAGGCCATACATTGATGGCCACGATGATCATTAGTATGAGAACTTGTAGTTGAACTTTTCAGGGTGGTCCTTCCATTCCTTCCCCAGTCTGTACTTGAACACATCGACATTTGGAGCATCGATGGTGTGGGTTGACAGCTTGTTCCATGTCTGAGTTACTCGTGCCGCAAAGAAGGCTTTTCTGGGTCCCAATTGATGCTGAACTTGAAGTTTTTGATCGTGACCTCGGGTGACACGGCTGAGAGAGTTCTTGAACATGCTGTTGTGACAACACGGGCACTCTCTTTGGAAGTCCACCTTGTCGAAGCCTTTCAAAATTTTGAAGGTCTCGATGATGTCCGACCGTTTCCGTCGGAATTCCAGAGTAGGTAAATTAAGGCTCCTGAGGCGATCTGAATATGAAAGGTGAGACAGTCCGTTCACCAGCCTTGTTGCCCGCCGCTGCACCTGTTCGAGTGCATCTTTGTCCTTTTTGAACTTGGGATTCCATATAACAGTTGCATACTCGAGGTGGGGCCTGACAATGCTTTTGAACAAGGCTTTGAAAATGTCGCTGTCAATGTTTGCAAAGGTATGCTTGATTGCACCAAGAATTCTATTGGCCTTGTTAATCTGGTTAGTGACATGTTTTGAGAAGGATAGCTTCATGTCTATAGTGACTCCCAGGTCCTTTTCCTCACAGACTGCTTCAAGGGTATGTTTGCCTCCACCCATAGTTGTCATGGTATACTCACTTCCAGGATTTGTTGGTCCGAGATGCATGACCTTGCATTTAAGTGGATGAAAGATCATCTGCATTGTTTTTGCCCAATCTTGCAGAGAGTTGATGTCCTCTTGCAGATTGTGAAGTTCACCATCGCGCTCGTTGATGACTTGGTAGACCTTGGTATCGTCCGCAAACATAGAGATATGACAATTTAAGAGGTCGGGAACATCACAGACAAACATGGAAAACAAGAGAGGCCCGAGCACTGAGCCTTGCGGCACTCCACTTGTTACAAACTCCCAGTCTGATAGTGATCCATTGACGTTCACTCTTTGCCGCCTGCCTGTTAGAAAACTCCTTATCCACTGATGAGTCTTTGCATTCACCCCTAGAGCCTGGACCTGGGCTAGAAGCCGTTCATGGGGCACAGTGTCGAACGCTTTGGCATAGTCCAGAAACACAACATCCACTGGTAAGCTGTGGCTTAGCGCTTCCGTCCAAATATCAAGAGCTTCCAGTAGGTTTGTGACCGTAGATTTCCCTGTGATGAAACCATGTTGTTGGCGAGCGATAAGATTGTTTGTCTTCAGATGAGCGATGATGTCCTCGCATATGATCCTCTCCAGAATCTTGCATAATATTGATGTCAGTGACACTGGTCGGTAGTTCGCGGGATCACTTTTGTCGCCTTTTTTAAAGATTGGCGTGACGGTGGCCACCTTCCACTGCCGTGGAACTTCTCCAGTTTCAATACTTTTACAGAACAGAGATGTGATGGGTGTCGCAAGTTGGTCAGCAAGTTCGTGCAAAACACGCGGGTGCATGTTGTCGGGGCCTGGCGATTTATCAATCTTCAGTGTTTTCAGCTTGGCATGGACTCGCTGAACAGTTATCGCAACTTGCATCTCTGCCTCCAAAGGCTTTGGAGCTAGCGTTGGGGTCGATGACTTGTCTTCCTTTGTGAAAACGCTTGCGTACTGATGATTCAATATATCAGCCTTGTGCTTGTCGTTAGTTGCCAGTTCACCATTAGCACTACGCAAGTCCGAGATACCACATTTTGATTTCCTACGACGGTTGACGTAGTTCCAAAACACTTTGTGATTTCCTTTGACTTCTTTAGCCAGCTTCGACTCGAATTCCCGCCTTGCTTTCCTGGTCGCGTGGGTAGCTTCATTTCTTGCCTTGACATAACTTTCGTAATCATTACTGTCCTTGGTGTTCAGAAAACGAACCCAAGCGTGATGTTTTTTCTTCACCATTCTAAGAGCACTCCGATTCATCCACAGGGGATTTCCTCTTTTCGCTTTCTTGTTGGTGTCCAGCTTGGGCACGTACCTATCCATTAAATCCGTGATCGTTTGTTCAAGCGTATCTGCCATCTCATGCACAGATTTGCCTTCAAATAGTCCTTGCCAGTCAACGTCCAGTGCTTTCTTCATTTCTTCATAGTTGGCTTTGTGGTAATTCAGTACCGCACTCTTTCTCACTGGAACGTAAGGGACAAACGATATAGCAAATGAGACACTGGCATGATCGCTTGCTCCAACCGGGTCTCCAATTGTCAGTTGTTCCACCAAGTCTCGCTCATTTGTAAAGAGCAGGTCATCGAGAGTAGAGCGCTGTCCATCTCTGTATCTTGTTGGCTCTGTTATATGCTGTAGAAAGTAGGTATCGTGTATACATTCGATAAACTTACGAGCTGGGCTGTTCTGGCTGACACCTTCTGAAACTTCTGGGTCTGGGGTCCAGAATATTTCTGGGTGGTTAAAGTCACCGACTATAACCTTGTGCGAATGATTTGTGGATGCTGCCCAGCCAAGCATTTTGTGGAGATCAGGATCTTGAGGAATAGCTTTACTTGGTGACCCGCTTCTGTAGATCACCCCAACAAGCATACTTGCTCCACCCCGGGCATTAATCGTAATCCAGGTGCAATCCTGAAAGTTGCAGTCTCCCGTGGGATAAACTTGTTTGGCCATCAGATTCTTTTTTACATAAATTCCCGTGCCCCTAGTAGCTCCGGCTGAAAAGTTGCTAGTAAATAATTCGTAGTCGGGCAGTTCCATTACAGGGTGTTCAGGCATCAACCCAACTTTAGGTTTCATTTCTGTTAATGCAAGAATATCATAGCTCTCAAGTGCAGTGAGTGCCAGCATCGCGTCGTATTTACTCATAATAGAATTGTCGATGTTGGCATAAAACACTTTCAATGAGTTAACAGTATGGGTTACAGGCCCGGCAGGTTTCTTGTCGTCTTGAATGTCTAGTCTCGCTGTGATGGACTGTGGCTAACCCTTTCCTTCCCAGCTTCTGGTGCCTGCTACCATCGAGGACCTGTATCAGATGAGTCAGCAGCAGGACGGCGATAGCGACAAGGTCGATGTGAGTACCGCACCGTTGTTTGGAATTTCTTGGAACTGCCCTGGGCCCAATCTTATAAAATACCGTAGGTACTATTCTATTCACGGCATTTGGTAACATTTGAAGTGATACCAGTGCTGACAAAGGGTTATCCGAGTCAACGAAATGATTCCTTGGACCGCTGACATACGATGGACTGAAATACGTGAAAACCATTTTACAATTGATAGCCGTTTTCTGCAGCTGAACTTCAGCCAGTGCTGCCATATCCATTCAACGGCGTTTATAAGATTGAGCCCTGGAGTAGCTAACCGGGTAAACGCAGCTGCTGGTAGGCGCGGAACGCCACCTAGTTGTGTCCCTTGTTAGGCCGTCGTCCCTCGTTGTTATACACACGCTTGATAGTTAGTTTTATAACAATATTTTTGTTCTGATGCGTCGGGCTCGTTCACAAGGCATCTCCGATTCAAATCACGGCTAGTCTGCATACAGTCTGCAAACACGTCTAGTCATTCGTAACTGTTAGACTATGACAATCTTTGCATGTTTCAATGTATGCACTGTGATCGCTATTGAGCCGCCCCTCGCTTGCCGTTTCCTCAGGTGACCGTGGTTGCCATGGTGACCCAGATCTATGACGAGAACGGCGCTCCGCACGTGCGGGTGCAGCCGCCGAGCTCTGAGCGCGCCGGCGGCACGGTGCTGGCCACCTCGCAGGTCGACCTGGGACCGGCACGTGGTACGTATCGACCTTATGGGAGACTGACCTCTCAGTAGTCACCTCGCAGGTCGACCTGGGACCGGCACGTGGTACGTATCGACCTTATGGGTGGCTTCTCATTATTTACCTCATAGGTCCTATGGGCGCCACTGTGGTTATTTATAAAAAGCATGGATACATATGTAAAGCTGTTTTATGTGGATAAGCATTCCGGCAATGGTATCGTCGAGGGTCGAAGGAATGAGCAGTACCGCTAAAATCAGCCCTCGCCCCTCAGGGTAGCACTGTTTTCCAATTTTCATGGATAGGCAGCAGACATGCAGACGTCACGAGCAGTTGACCTTGTTCTCGGCAGCAGTAGACGGCAGAGTGACGGAACGACATCAACAGTCTCTGGTCTCTGGGGATCAGACCGGTATATGTCGGACTCGGTTTACCGGAGACGGGGGGCGTGTCAGCCCTCCTCCCACTGGGTCAGGGTGATGTTATGGCGTCTGTTGGAGGGAGGCGGCTGTCGGCACCGGACTGACTGTTTTCTGTGGTGACACACATCCGGCGGATCTGGGCTGGATCTCAGCGGCTGGATAACGGGCGTGCTATCATGACGCACTGGCGGGCGGCTTTAAATGCCGCCAGACGCGGTGCAGAACCGTAAGGCTGTATCCGCTTTGTGCATAGCTGTTTCGATGTGGCGTTGTGAGAGCTTGCGCCAGTGGATTTTTTTTGCGAGATAAAAAGGAATCGTTAGCCCAGATGGCTGATATCCAATTGATGTGTAGCTAATGTAAAAAGATCATAGCAACAAGGTTGAACGTAATGCTTGGTCAGCGACTAGTTTTTAGACGTTTTATGCTATCTTTTTAGGCAAATAGTTCTTGTACATGGTGGTATGCGGCTGACTGCGCCGGCGGTCTCCTGAGTAGAGGTGGCAAAATGTGGACCCAAGGACCCGGTCCAAAGAACCAGTCAGACCGGTTCCTGGAAATTTTCTGACGGGTCCAACCGGGTCCTACCATAAACTGTACATCTTGCACACTACACATTATTGCAAAATATGAAGTGAATGAAGCGAATGTTTCTTGGCACACAGTAGCTCATGAGTACTCCCAGTGGGAAATAGGCTGCTTTACATGATGCAACTAATGATATAGTACCTACAAGTAGTTTGTACCTATTAACCCGCGCCCAGATGGGGTCTGCCGAGCAACGCGGTCTGATGGGGGGGCCATTTTGGCCCCCCCCCCCTCAGATCTCGAGAACCACGCAACATAGCGACAAGCGGTAAACGGTGTTGGATAGCCCCAACGGGGAACTACCTTGTGACCCAATTTCATTGACCTCGGTCAAACTGATGACGTCACAGGTCAGGTCAAAGGTCGAATTTTCACCGTTTACAGGCATTTCAAGAAATGCGTTGTAAAATCGAGTAAAATGCATTTCATTGAAAATCATCGATGGGGAATTGTTCTTCAAACACATATTTTGCTATTTGAGGTCACTGATACCAGGTCAGGTCACAGAGGTCAGGTCACTGGGGGGTCACAATATGAAAGTGTCGTGTGATACATGTTTTATGGTCCATTTTACATGACAAATGCGATTATTTGGGTCAGACAGACTTTAGGGCCAGCTTAGGTCACGTTTTGGTCAAGGTCAGGTCAAGGTCAGGTCAAATTAGGTCAAATTTCAAAGTTGATATTTTTGCATAAAATGGGTATTGATTCGATGCAGCTCGTCACGGGGAGTTTAATGGTGGTCTCCGTTTTGCGTTACGAGGTCTAGAATTACTAAAAATTGACTTCAAAAATTTGACGTCATCAATTTTTAACAGTTTTTTCGCTATAACTTGGCCAAAAAAAGAGGCATCGATCTAAAATTTGGTATGTATATCGAAGAGCGCAGGGACTATCACATATATTCCGGTTTTTTCGAAATTCGAAAATTTTTTGGAATTTTTTTGAGTTTTTCTAAAAAAATAATTTTTTTGATTTTTGGGGGTCAAAATCCCAAAATTTCGAAAATCCGAGATAGCAGTTTTGTAGCGCCGTCTTTTCTGTACACAACCACATAAAGAACTTTAAAATTGCTTGTTAACTGTAGAATTTGTGAGCGTTTAAAGATGTCATGTTTTTTGCTCATTTTTACTCGAACATGACCTCAGTTTGACCTCAATAACTCCTGACCTGAGGTGACCTGTGACTTGAAATTTTGTGTGAAGGTGTCAAATTGATGCCCGGTTAGGTACCCAAAATTTGGCGGCGCTGCGCGCCGCCGTTTTCTCGCTATTTAAGAAAAACCACAGGGGGGGCCAAAATGCCCCCCCCCATCAGGGCGCGACTTTTGGGGAACCGGGTCCAACTGGTTCCGATTCCAACAAAGGCCGGGTCCGACTGGTTCCAGAAATGTCCAGCCGGGTCTGGTTCGAGTCTGGTTCCCAAAATTTTCATCTTTTGCCACCTCTACTCCTGAGCTCTGTTCGGTCGCTGTTTTTTATCAGCATGCTGTCGGTTTTTCCCATATAAGGAAGTAAATTATTGCTGGCGCTTCTTGGCCTCTCATTGGCCAAATGAAGAGACCACTTCAATCCAAGAAATAGCAGCATGCTCGCAGCCTGCTGATAAAAAACTGCGACCGAAGAGGGCCCTGATTACGAAAGTAATCATGGTCTTCAAGATGTACCAGATGCCACTTTATCTCGGTTTGTTTTATGTGCAGACCCACAGCGTCGTTTGGAAAACCAGTGCTGACGTAGCTCAGGCGGCGCAACCAAATGTTTATTTTAATCAGGAAACTCATTTCAGACATTGATGAAATGATGAAATATGGTTTAGATGATCGGGAGTTGTGTGCATATACCCAGGCTCGCAGTCTGGATCGAATTTTGTAGGAAGCTAAAACCATTATAAAATTCATTATAAACTCGCAGCAGGCTCGGCTTCTATCAAAGACCGCTGCCGGTACTATTTCATCGTATTTCAATCCGTCGCTCCTGCCACTCAGGTGACAGCCTCAGCTGCTGTGACCCAGTGCTTTCAGACGTCCTACATACATTCGCACCCATACCATGATATGGTGCAGCTCATGTGCGCACACGGTCCGGCCTCGCCCTGGCCGATCGGCCCGGCCCTGACAGTAATTGGTCCCATCAGGCTGATTTAGGTCGGTAGTGCATACATCACCGCTGTCGGTGAGCTGTCGGCGGGCGATCATCGGTAACCCTGCCCGTCCGATAATCAGCGCTCTGATGAGAGGAGATGGCAGACTTCCTGCCGCGGCCTGGACCGCCGGTCCGCCCGCACGAGCGCACGCCGTTCCTGTCTCCTCATAGACCTAGTGGTGGGGCTGGGAATGAGCGATCCGGTGCGTACCGGATGGAACCGGGGCTTTGAGCATTTCCGAGGAACTATGAGCGTATGTGGCGGGTGAAGTTTGTCCGTAGATACTTTTGAGCTCCGAAATCGATCGATCAATAAACGCATGTGCCTCACATATGACAGTCAATGATCCTTTTAAGTCTACACAGGTGTCTTTTTCCTCCAATAAGTATTAACTGCCGTATGAATATTGAATAACTAGCAGCTAAAGTCATGCATTACGACAGTAAAAACTCGCGCATGGATTCCATCCCTTCCTTGTAAGCGTAAGCTAACGAGTCGGACATTCCCTCTTTTCCATTATTGGGAGTGGTGCCCTCAAATCCCTCTAGCCTGGTGCGACCCTGTCTGTCACGTTCTAACCGCCCTTTCGTTGAGCGATACCGTCCTGTTGTAGTTCGATCTCCGTGCTGTGAGTGGGATAACCTGCAGTGGCAGCCGTTTCTGGCGGATGATTGGACATACGTGACTGGACCAGGGCCCTGTTTCACCGGTGATAGCAGCACGCTGCTATCACACGTGTCAAATTGGGTTTCCATGGAAACATCAACAAACCATGCCGTCAATTTGTGTGATATCATCAAATATTGCTGCTAACATCTTCACGGCCGTGCGAATGTATCAAACGCATTCAACGAGACAGCAACTCTGTTCCAAACATAGCTATGAAAAAGCTCACGGATTACACGAAACGTCATTAGTGTTGCGTCATCACATGACGTCAGCTCGCGCAATTTGATAGTAGCGTGCTGCTATCACCACCGGTGAAACAGGGCCCAGTGTGGAACAGCGTGGTGAGTGTGGCCGTACATCGGGTTGTTGATGGTAGGGGAGAGTGGGGTAAGATGCCCAGGGTGGGAAAGACGCCCCACCCCCTCTAGCGGCGAAACAAAGAATCGGACCTGGAATCTAATGTTCTTAGCGTAAAGCGGAAGCATGCCTTGTTAACTGCACAAAAAATTGCGAAGCTCAGTTGAGCAACGGCTGGCTGATGATTGCATGTTTTTTATTTGCTGCTTTCAAAAAATATTTTGGTGTCAGAACATTGTAAATATCAAAGAAGGTAAATAATTTTTGCGTCCCTTACTATAGTCGTGATACATTAGCATGCGTGTACTGTGTCCCAAAAAGTTTGTTTCAGGGTGTAGTTTTATGGCTAACAAATTGTACTGATTTAATGTTACTTCGGTACCTTGGGGTAAGATGCCCCCTGTCCTGATGGGGAAAGACGCCCCCCTAAATCCGTAGGCTGTCCTTCAAACAGCCCGTCAAATCATTTATTACATACTTGTGATGTAGACAAAAGCCGATCTTGGACTATTGAGAGTCCAGTACGGTCGGGTGCTCCCCATGCCGGTCTCTCGGCCCACATAGCGACTTTTTGGGCGGCATCTGACTCTGACAGCCCTCACGACGGCCTCTGTGGGCCCCATTATTGGCTCCAGGGCCCCTCACGACATCCTTTGAGGGCTCCCACGTTGGGCCCACGGGCCGCGCTGGCATCGGAGGTCCCCACGATGGGCTTGAGGGCCCTCAAGCATCATGAAGACCTATAAGAGCCACACAGTGGTCTCCGAACGCCACCACAGAGGCTTGCTTGGCCGTGCTGGACTATGATGGCCCTAACGATGACCTCTGAAGCCCCTTACGACTACTTTTGAGGGCCCTTATGATGACGTTTGGTGTCTACTGCAGGCTCGAAGGGACTACTGATTCGTTCAGGCGATTCACGTGCCCATTTATGTCACTTATAGTGCAGGGGGCATCTTTCCCAACGTCAGGGGGCGTCTTTCCCACCCTGTGGGGTAAGATGCCCCCTTTCACCTCTTCAGGAAAATGCTTAATAGCAAAAAAGGTTATAATATTTCAGGCACGAAAGTGTGATATTTTTGGAGAAAAATGATGTCGGCTTCCGTTGAAACTCCAAGTTTTTGCTTTCCCATCGTCATTTTCGGATAATATATGACATAGCAAAACCCTGGGCATCTTTCCCCACTCTCCCCTACGCACTAGTGCTGACCTCAACTCTGTCATGACTGATGACTTCACCGGCACGGGGTTGTTAGGGTAGTTAGCAGTGGAACGGGATTTCCTGGGCGGTGTTTCACGGGACGCTGCTACCACGCTGCTATCAAATTGCGCGAGCTGACGTCACACTTGTGGTAGTGTTGGAGCAATGGGCCTGTTGATGTTTCCATGGAAACCCAATTTGACACGTGTAAAAGCAGCGTGCTGCTATCACCGGTGAAACAGGGCCCAGAGCGCACGAGGATGTGACATGCGTGCTGAGTGGGATCGACGTCGCTGTTTTGATATCGCTAGCTTTATCCGGTACATCATATGGATTGGGTGCTGAATTTTAGATTGTGTGAATAAAAATGACATATAAATTAGATGTCCGGGCCATTTTCACCGTCTTCCGAGTCCAGTCTCGGTCCGTGGCGCTGGTATGTGTTCTAACCCCTGTCGCCAACGCAGACCCCTCCCCCTGACATTGACCGAGTCCCTGTCCCGCCCGTATTTCAGCGGCGTCCCCGCTAACGCTGCCTGCGTCACCCGACGCGGACGATCCGCCGAGCCCTGCGGCGGTGGTGGACAGTCCCCAGCGGGACCAGCCGTCCCCAGTGGCCGACGACGGCGGTCCGAGCGGAACGGTCCTGTCCATGCCAAGCGGCGCACAGCTCCTGCTGCTGGATACCGCCGCCCCGGCGAGCCCGACCGGGGAGCCCGAATCTCCAACGGGTCAGGATACCGCCTCCCCAGCTGGCCTTAGTACCATCTCTCCAGCGGGCGCTAGTGCCGCTTCCCCAGCGGTAGCTAGTACCTCCCCAGCGGACCTCGCGCCAGGGAGCGAAAGGAGCGAAAGGCAGCGGTCTCCTCGCCCGGCCCAGCAGCCGCCGGCCGATGAAGGTGCTGAGGCGGTGACAGAGGAAGCCCCGACAGAGAGCCCCCTGCTCTTCTCTCTACTGGTAAATAAATGTTTCGCAATTCGCACAGATTGATTTACTCTAACCTAACCCCTTCTGGATTACAGCTTAACCCGCGCCCTGCTGGGGGGGGGGGGGTGTTTGAACACACACACCCCCCCCCTTGTGGTTTTTCGCGAATATCTCAAAAACGGCGGCGCTCCGTTTTTGGTACACCTTATCATACATCAATTCTACACATGCTGTGAAAATTTCAGAGCAAGGTCGTTCAAGGTCAGGTCACCAGGTCACTTGAAGTGACCTCACCTCATAAAAAGTTTCAATGTCTGTCATAGCTACACCGAGTGACCGATCGCTTTGAAACTTTCAGCGATTGCTAAGAGCAATAGCACGTACAAAATGTATATCTCAGAATTTTGATATCGATGACCTAAGGTCAGGTCAATTTTGCGACCTCCCCATTATAAGTCAATGGGAGAAAATTGAAATGCGCCTCTTTTGGACGAAAGACATTATAAACACTCCCAAACACTGAATTACAAGTGGTTTAGACACCCTGAACATGAAAATGGTGTCCGTGACCCCTGTTTATGCCCTGAGGTCATCTTAGGTCACGAATGGTATCTAACAGTTTTTCGCAAATAACTTTTGATAGAGGCATGCTAGAGTGATGAAAACGCATTAGATGTGTTCAGCTCGACGATACGGATCGACTGATATGCAACATGACCCTTTCAGGTCAGGTCATGACCTTGACCTGAGGTCAAATTTTCAAGTTGCCCTTTCAAGGTCGAGTTATAGTTTATTCGATGCGTCTTGACGAGAGGAACACGATGCCGGTAAAAGTAAGCTCGTGCAAGGCTTGGGTCAAAAGTTATTGCAGAAAAACTGTTTCCGAAAAAATCGGCTATTTTTGCAGTTTTTGCCCCCTGCAGGCAAAACCGTTGACGTTAGGTCAAATCTGAGAGAATTACTCAGAAAGGGCGTTAATAGGGCTATCGAATGCGCTTTTCCGCGGCGCTGTAGCTCTATTGGTTCCCGAGTTATGCGTTGGTATCTTGGAAATTGTCGACATTCGACCTGGAAATCGGCGAAATTTTGCCTTCAATGACCTCTGGTGACCTGACCTTTGACCTGACCAAAAAATTGACTGAAGTGATTTCGTCATTATTTTTGACGCTCTTTCGGACGCCGCCTTCCGCGTATCGCTACGTGGCCCAGGAGCCGAGTTAGAAGGAGGGGGGGTGTTCAGACACCCCCCCCCCCCCCCCAGCAGGGCGTGGAAATCCAGGACCCCCAGCCGGGCGCGGGTTAACTTGCGTATTTTGTTTCTGGTGATTGTCATTGGATGAAGTTTGGTGTTGTCCGTACGATTCAAAGCACACATCCTATGTATGAACACAATTACTGTGTGTGACGGTATGGTGATGCGCCTCATCTGTTCCGGCAGGGTCGGGGACTGTGGTCCAGTTTGTCCGTCTGATGCCGACCGGAGAGCTGGAGACGGTGTCGGCGGACGACGCGGCGCTGCTCTCCAGCCGACCCGGCACTTCCTATCAGGTAGGTGTGACTCCAGAACAGATGCAGCGTGTGGGCCCGTAAGTGATCCGCCCACGGCCCACCACGGACCGCAACGCACAACGGGTCGAAGGGTGGTAAGTTTCCGGGGCTCGTGTCGGATTTGCCCCTACTGGTTTTTCACAGATGCTAAGCCAGATATCGACGTTTCGTTTGAGGTATTCTATGTTATCGCTGACTGGATTTCCGTCGGATATCGTCATTCACCCTGCAGCTACGTATACGATAGGATAGTCCGGTGATCCCATGTCACCGGCATTACTCGGGAAGTTGCATCAGGCGCACATGACCACGCAGTTATTCTGTGCAGCCGACGGACAGACATCCTTCCACTGATGTTACTATTTGACCAAGATTACTGGTCGCCTCACCAGCGATTGATGATGTAGCTCGTGGCTCGCACATCAGTAATTCATATGCGGTGTTTATAAGTTATAACTGTCAGACCGCATGACTCCTCTCAGTAGCCCTTGACCTATCCCCCCCCCCTCGCACACATAATGCACTCACTGACACATACTTGTAGCCAGACAGCGGCTGATACCTGGCACTGAACAGTATTACCTGCAGTTGATCTATATGCGTTGTGTTTCAGATTCTGCCAGAAGGCCAGTCTCTGGGCCGTTCACCCTCGGCGGCGCGGGTCCCCGAGCCTACCGAGTCGCCGCAATAGCGGTGGGCGGGCTCACAGGGGGAGGGGCGACTCCGACGGACACTGCTATGTGACGGGCGCGGGGGGAGGAAGAGGGGGGGGGTAGGGGGCGGCCGTCGGCGGCCAGTCTCTCAGCCGATGTGCTCTCAGGAGGTCGTGCTCGCTCCCGCACCGCTCCAGCCCGCCCACCGTCCAACGCCGAGCTCCAGCCAAAGTAAGCGGATGCAGGGCAGATAGCCGGCAGACGGATAGCCGCTGGTAGGGACTTTGACGTACGACTGTTAGGGCGTGTTGGCTAACCAAAAGTCAGGGATTCATGTATATTATGACGGTGAAGTAACGCCACCTGGTATGAGGCATAATGGGGGTAACACGGGAGGGTGGTGCAGTGTAGACGGGCTTTCAGCTGGTGTTCCTACTCAGAAGCCTCCGTTCGGTTGGTGTTGTTGTTGGCTGCTCGGTGTTGGAGGTGAACGGCCTGTGTTTGGCATTCGTTGTGGTGATTCGCGACCTTCAGCTGTAATTGAGTGCGCTCATTCTCACTTTGGCCATGTTATGAAGTAGCTATGTCTGCCAATCTGGAGGAACACGGAAATGTCATTTTGTGCAGAAGTCTGTATTCTGTTCATGCATGAATATATTTATAATACGTTTCTCAATATTTGTCTGTAAATAAATTTGCATCACTGCCTAAGCTGTTGCGTCATTATGGTGCCGTTCCGTACCTTATAGGTCTATATTGCTGGAGTGGCGAGCAGGGAGACAAGAGCCAAGCTGCGGTACCTTGAGTGGAATGTGAGCGGAGTGTTAACGGAGTGCGGTGGGCGGAGTTTAGCGGAATGCTAGCGAACCATGATCGGAATGTGAGCGAAGTGTGCACGGAATGTGAACGGTCTCATCGGCGGACCGTGGGGCAGGCTCGTGATGCATTCCTTGCAGGGAGGAAGGACTTGCCGTAAAGCGGGTCGACTTCGGCGCCTGCAGAGCCAGTATTCGAACGGCAAGCGCAACGCGCTCGTGGGCTCAGGCTGGCAGGGACTGTCTGCAGAACCGTGTGTGGGTAGTTGTTAACCGGGTTTCTCACGCTTTAATATGAATTTAAGGAGAATAGTGGGTTTAGGGTGAAGAAAAAACAGGCCAAATTTAGTATATGGTATCTTGGTCAGTGGTAACTGGTAAGTACCTGTGGATTATCGTGGCATCGTGAGCAGTGTAGTAGGCACACATGCGACATTTGTTGGTGCGGACAGGGTCGGTTGGTTGGGCCGTAACGCCATTCGCAAAAGTATTCTGTCTAGCGGAGAACTTGGGTCCATAGCTACTCGCTCATCCATTGGCGTAAAATTAACCCTCGCCGTGCCCTCGCCCTTTGCCAGCCGCGAACTGGCAAAGCCGCGAGGCCCCCCCTCCCCCCACACACACCTTTACCGTTTGGCCCCTGATCGAGCTTCGCGGAGAAAACGAGCTTGTTGCCCGTGACGAGAGAAAGCCGATGATACATGATTTTAAGGTCCTAGGTCTTTGGTTGACTTTCCAGGTCAAGTCAATGGCCCAAAGTCGGGAAAATCGGGACCTGTTAGAACGGGACCTGTGGCTGCTACGGTTTTTCGGGGTGCTGTTCACGAATATCGTGTTGGTTTTGATCACAGATGCTGTCTTCATGCATTGAGGCTAGGTCAGGTCAACCAGTAGGGGTCCTGCCGGGTATTTGTAGTACCTACGTGTCAACCGCGTCTGACGTAGCTTCGTTACATAGTTGTGAAGGAACCAAAACTGCTTCGTAAATGCTCAAATGGTTGCTAAATTCGAATTCAGCTAAAAAAAAACTAGCCCAGAAACATGTATAACTCGAAAAAGTGAACGAAGGTCATCAAAGGTCATTGACCTGACCTGACCTGACCTTAATGTGACCTTGACATCCCCCCTAATGCATGGGACCAACATCATATCACGTTTGAACGCTTGAAACCACGAAAAGACTGCAAACGCGCGGCTACTATGCAAGCCAACATACGTCGAATCGCGATTCCGGCCAAACACGGTCTCGAGAAATAGGTCACAACAGGTCAAAGGTCATTTAGGTCAGGAATCAGGATAATGAAATTTTCAGGGTAGGTGTAAAACTGAAGAACTCTGGGGTACTGAATGTTTCGTGGCGATCCGCCGCTTTTTACGCGAGTCATTCGCGAGAAAAATGAGGGATCCTCTTGGCTCCTCCCCCCCCCCCACGGCCCCTACACGGGTGAGAGTTGATCTACTTGACTTTTGAGCTACCAGCACTCGAAGGCGGCATTTCGAACTGAAGGCGCCAAGCTCGACGGGTCAGGACGGGTCAACCCAAGTGTCAACTTAGGTCGGAAAACCACTGCGGATGACTTCGTGATGTTGACAATAGCCTTTTAAAGGGACCCTCCCACCTTCAAAAAAGTTTATGAATTGGCATGAAAGTGATGTCGCTCGGTTCAGAAAGAGCAAAAACGAATATCTACCAAATTTCACCGAAAAATATTCACCGGTTTTCAAGATATTATACTTTTACTTTTGTTTACTTTTTGGGATCTCCGCTGTTTCTAGCGACTTTATTTTAGAAGTGCGGCGTTTGCGGCAGATGTTGCGCGCAAATAGCATATACCACCGCGTGCTACAAAACGTTTTAGTCAAACATTAAAAAATCGTTAGATATCTGCGCTGACGTCACACATTCAGAGGGGTATTCCTAAGCATTAGCCCCTCTGAATCAAAATGCTGCAATTTTGAAATTCAATATTTCCGATTTAAGGCATTTCTCGATGTTGTGAGTGCCGAAACCGGTAATTGTGAGCCAGGGACCCCATTTTGGCTATCTCAACTCAAATCTAATGTTAAGGTGGGAGGGTCCCTTTAAAACCAGGATTAGGTACTTTGTGAAGTGCGGATACTTTGAAGGCCAATCGGTGAAGGGATCGTTATTTGCTTTCACCATATGGTAGTCATCTGGCAGCTATTGTGTGTGACAATTTATGGCGATAGGGGCAAAAGATTCTTGCAAACAATTTCATTCAAATAACTTAGGCAAGGCCGAACTCAGGTGGTTAGGCTCGACCCCCACCGGACACGATTTGGTAGCCGAGGTCTGTGACGTCAGCCGGGCGTGAAGTTTTCCCTTCACCATAGGCTTCACACACAAACTGGCCGAAGTTCATGCCAGGATAGCCCGGCTTGAAAGTGCAAAAATGATTAAATTTTGCCCTCAATAGATTCATTGCTTCATTTTATAACTAAAAACGTCCGTTATTAGGCCTCAATGAAGGTAAAAAGTACTCAAAATCGAAGTTCAAGAAGATGCTGTCCGAGCACAATCTGGTAACATCACGTGACCTCAGTTGGCGCGCGACCTTGGTTGGGGTCGGACGCGCGGCGCGAGCTCCCGGCATGCGAGCCGAGTGAGCGCCAGCCAGTGTGCCCGGGTCGCCAGTAATCACAGACCAGTGACCACAGGTGAAATGCAGTGATTGCATGACGTGACTTTATAGTAAGAAGTGGCGTCAAGTGACGGACAGATTTTGATCGACGCGTATCGTGTTGACGAACCAGTGATGTCGTCGGACGAGAGTGGCGGCGAGTCGCCGTTCACTGACTGTGCGGCGTCCGGAGCAGAACTGCGCGTCGACACGCCGATCGGTCGCCAGCGGCGACTATCGGTGCCTGAGATGGTGCGGCGAGCTGAGAACCGCAAATCGAAACGTCCGGCGCCGGACCGTGGTTCCAAATCGCCGCATGACCCCGCACTGCCCGCGGCTAAGCGTCCGCTCGCTGAGCCGGACGAGCCGCCGGGCGTGGAGCTCAGTGCGGGTGCACTCGCCGCGATCAGTAAACTGTTGGACGTCCGCACTGCAGCAGTGATCAATGCTTTTGAAGCCAAATTCGAGCGCATGGAAAGACGCCTGAGTGTGCTCGAATCTAAATCAATGGACAAAGAAAATGAGATTCAACGTCTCGGAGACGAGCTGGCGCACCAGATTCGTATCAACACTGATCTCCAAGCACAGGTGGAGAGCATAGATCTCAACAGGAGGCTGGCATCGCTCATCTTGACCTGTGTCGACTTCGGGAAGAGAGCGGTGAACGAGAATATCGAGCAGATAGTGGTGCGTATTCTCAACGAGAGGATTCCGGGTCTGGACCTTACCACCGCAGATATTCACGCCGCGCACAGACTTCAGCGAGACGACAAGGTAATCGTCAAGTTCGCGAAACGGAGCCTGAGAGACAAAATCTACGACGCGCGGTTCAGCCTAACGTCATATGGACCGAGGGCGGACGGATCCGGAGTCTGGCCCGGTGCTGGCGGCGGGCGCGGCGGCCGACGGAGGTCGCCGCTCTACATCTCCGAGTCACTTACAGTGTACAACCAGTCCCTCTACAACCAGCTGCTGCATGCTCGGAAGACGAGTGGCGGCTCCAAGATCGCATCCGTCTTCAGCCGGCGGGGACTGGTGTACTGCCGCACCGTCAGGGGCGGACCCAACATCCGCGTTCCGGACGAAGCCACTCTGCGTCGAATCATCGGTGGTGCCGGCGGGGGACCTCTTGAGGCGGGCGGCCCGTCGCCTGCCGGGCCCCGGGACCCACGGCGGCCCGGCGCCCCCCCGCCCCCGCCCGTCGGACCTGCGGGGTCTCGGGCGGCCGGCGGCGGCGGCGTGTCGGGCGCTCTGGATGATGGCCCCCGTGTTGCTGATTCGGCTGCGCCCCCGAAGGGCAGGACTTCAGACCCGCCTGCTTCAATGACTGAGGGACTGCCGGATTCTGCCGAGACGTCGACAGCAGCCGAGACGGTGCTGCCCCCTCACCCGGCTGACCAACCTTCCGCGGCGGACGCTCGGCTGCCCGCGGTGATGGCTGTTGGGGCGCCTTCTGCTGAGCCGCCACCCGCGGCGGCCGCTGAGGCGCCCCATGAGACTTCTGCTGGGCCGCTCCCTGTAGTGACCGCTGGAGCGCCCTCTGCCGCAGCGATCAAGCTGGCAGCTTTTGCGGCTCCCGGGTCACGGGGAAGCGCGGCCTAGCGCTGTCGCCGCGATCGTCGGAGGGGCGGCTCTCCTCACCCATGTGAGTGCCTTCGGATCGGTCACGGCTTACGGCTCGCGTAAGTTATAAGCATCTCGTGAGAACAGCAGAACTGAACCTGCAAGTGTTTTCCCCTTTTTTTCTAGATATAAGGAAGGTGAAATTCGTTGATTGGCGACAGCACTTGATGTTAGTGCGCATGTCTAGTGAGATCCCATACAGTTATTTTACGAATATTGTCGAGATGTGTCTCAGTTTTTTTTTTCGTTTGTCAAATGACACGTGCCAGACCTGCGGCCGGGCCTGGGTTGCATGGCCGCCCATCGGCTTGGTGGTGGTGGACGGCTTGCCGTCGGCGCCTGACGGTGTAGTGGGCGCGCCGGTGGGACCCGGCCTACCTCGGCCGAGTGGCTCGTCCGGCGGCGGCGGCTCGGGCTCGGCGCAGGACAGTCCCACGATAGGTTTAGTCAGAGATAATGTTGTTGCTGAACTAGCAGTTAAGTTTCGCCTTGTACCTGCTGGCGACCCGGGTCAGTTCGCCCCCCAAATGGTCGCGAGTTCACTCTGGACAATAGCTGTGTATGCAAGTTGTGTAGCCAATCGGGATCGACACGAG